ACCATTCTAGCTGCATTCGAAGTATGTTGGTCATTCCAGTAAGTATCTGTGTCCACCTGTCATTCATAAAACAACAACAACAAGGAGAATAAAGATGAGAGTACAAACAAAGATACTACATGTATAGACTGCTATGGGCATTAACTGCATTATTAAACTTACTCCAGCCCCACCACAAGACATCTGTACAAATGCCCTCATGCCAGCCATGTCTACCAAAGAAGACAAACAATAGAAATACCAGAGCAGTGTTGACATCGATCCATACCTTTCTTATCTTGGCTTGTTTTGAGTTTGTTAGGACGCCCGTAGAGTCTGACGTGATTCTCACTGTGTACGCATTGTAGCTCAGCTAATGAAGCCTTCCTGGCTCTTAGACGCTATCATGGAGAGACAGAGAGGGAGAGACAGAGAGGGAGAGACAGAGAGAGAGAGACAGAGAGAGAGAGACAGAGAGAGAGAGGGAGGTGTATAAGAGCTAGTGTATGTACATATAATATATCTTACTGTTGATCTTTGGACTATTCCAGTCTCATGAAGGCGGGCCCATATACTCTGTAATCTTCCGGGATGCTCTGGGTGAGATGACCCACAGCAGCAGTTGTGTTTCAGCATCATTGTATCATAGACCAGGCCAGTACCAGACCCAGTCACGCCAGGAGACTTCACATCCTACACGTATACAAGTACTTGTATAATATAACAAACAAAATAATGGTGTACATCTATAAATGTATAAATAAATGTACATGTACATGTATTATAACAAACAAAATAAAAGCTATATGTTGTTTGTGTATTTTCCCATGCATGCAGTTATAATTACAACAATTTAAATTAATTCTAAACAGCCACTCCAACAGCTGCTACTGCATGTTAAAATAGCAATCGACGTTGACAATTAAACGCTAATTTCTAAAGCTGTTACTCATTCCAGGTGCTCAGTAGTGCAAGCTTGCTTTTCATGCGAAAATAATTTTAAATCCAACACTAAACTACATGTACACACACACACACACCTGTGTAGTGGCTGCCAAGGCCACAGGTGAGTTCTGTCCATTATTAGACCCAAGACTATCAACACTACTATTAGCTGATAGACTCCTGTGTATTGAGGTGTGGCCTACTACCAGCCCCTCCCCTTCGCTAGAGCTGGAGCCATGGACACTAGAATAAGGGAGTGAGAGTGTCTCTGCCTTATTCACAACACGGTGGACAGCTGGTTTAGGTTTCAACTGCAGCGAGGCTTGATGCTGCTGCTGAACGCCGAGCGTCTGTAACAAGAGCAACTGTTGCTGTCTCTGTAACTGTAGCAGCTGCTGCTCTTGCATTTGTCTCAAGAGTTGCTGTTGTCTTTGGAGCTGCTGCTGCTGCTCAAGGTGCATGCCAGCCAGTTGTCTCTGCTGCTCTTCAAATCTCTTCTTCTCCAGTACTGCTTGCTGTACCACTCGCTGCTGCTGCTCTAGATAATGCTGATACATTTGTTGCTGCTGAACCACTAGCGACTGGTGCTGGAGCTGGAACTGTCTTAACAAGGTCTCGTACTGCTCGTTAGTCATCGGCTCTTTTAAACCATGCGGGGCCGACTGACTAGTACCCAGCGGACGATGTTGCGCAATATTCTCTGTGGGCGGGGCCAAGCTCTGAAACCCACTATCAAGACTTGAGAGTGATGGAGTTGGTGATGCGACGGAGCTAATGGCAGAGGTGGTACCAGTAGAGACAGTGACAGAGGAGGTCAGAGGAGACGAGGTCAGTAACTGATTGGAGCCTACAGCAGTCGGCCATATAGCAATAGGAAACTGAAACAATTCCGGAGGTTTACCCCCACTAGTCGTCGCTGCCGCTGCAGCAGCTGCAAATTGTTTCTGTTGCTCAATCAAAGAAAGCATTTCAAGCTGTTTCTGTTGAAGAGCTTCAATCTGCTCCTGTGTGGGCATGGTAACTGCCTGGAGCTGCCCAACCCCTCCTGCTGCTGCTGCAGCCGTAGAGATGGAAGGAAGGATCCATGCTGGCGACATCTGGAGAGGAGAACCAGTGAGAGAAGAATGGGGTAACTATGAAAAAAGAGCCATTATTAATGAAGGAAGTGCAGCTTTATCAATCATTTTATATTAATGCTAACATACTTTGAGGTTAGAGAGAGAAGGCATGTCGTGTTGCGAGGAGGTCTTACCATCAATATTGAGGGACTCCTAATACAACAACAACAAAAATAATAATAATAATAATCATAATAATAATAATAATAATAATAATAATAATAATAATAATAATAATAATAATAATAATAATAATAAACATGCAAATGTACATATTATAATATTGGACAAGAGTCACTAGTACATGATGTACATATAAAAATTATGATATCATGCTGCTAACATTGGAGGAATTAGCAGAATCCATGGCCGTAGGACTATTAGGATTATCAACAGAGAGCCATCCTGGGACAGTAGCATTACCATCTATTAGTGAGTGAGAGAGAGAGAGAGAGAGAGAGAAACAGAGAGAGAGAGAAAGAGAGAGAGAGAGAGAGAGAGAGAGAGAGAGAGAGGGACAGAGAGAGAGAGAAACAGAGAGAGAGAGAGAGAGGGACAGAGAGAGAGAGAGAAACAGAGACAGAGAGAAAGAGACAGAGAGAGAGAGAGGGACAGAAAGAGAGAGAGAGAGAGAGAGAGAGAAGTGAGTGAGTAACAAACAGAATACATTCATAAACAAGTGAGTGTGTGTGGGTGAGAGGGAGACTGAGTGTGTGGGAAGGTGTTCAATTGAGTGGCTTCGTATAGTATTGACCAAGTTAAGCTAGTGAGTAAATGAGTACAACACACACACACACACACACCACATACTCAATATATTGCATAAGAATGTTTAGACTAGTTGTAGAAATTACTAGACAGTACAAATACAACAACTCTACTCGTGTATACCTTGAGGTACACATACATACATGCATGCATACATACAAGTACGTAATAAAATGAGTTTGTTGACCTAGTACACTCATTGATAGTGTCTTTGATACTTCATGTCTCTTAGGTATTGGACTCATCCTGTGCTGCTTTGGACGATGAAGCTTAGCTTTTGAAGGCTCAGACACTATTAGAGAGAGAGGGGGAGAGAGAGAGACAGAGAGAGACAGAGAGACAGAGACAGAGAGAGACAGAGAGAGACAGAGACAGAGACAGAGACAGAGACAGAGAGAGACAGAGACAGAGGGAGTGAGAGAGAGACAGAGACAGAGAGAGAGTGAGTAAGAGCATAAGTAGGAGAGCTTGGTAATTGCTTGAAGGCAAAAGCATAAAGTGAACAACTGAACATAGACTCACGTGTTTGTCTAACTTGAAGATGTTTTGCTACTAGTCTCTGATTTAATAAAGGAGATTCGGCAGGGCCGCCAAAAGATGGCGAACTATACAAAGACAAAAAATGATAATCAATTATGAACAAAACAAACAAACAAGAACAAATTATGGAACATGCTCAAGTGTGTGAACAAGTCTATAGCAAACCAGATTTACAAACCTACTTAACCAGACTGACAAGTTTTGGGTGGTTAAAAGATAACGCCATTATCACAAAAGCTTTAAGCATAAATTATACAAATAACACACAATCTCTTTCTCCCTCTCTCCTCTTACACAGTAGCTGAGCGGGAGGACAAACCATCATTATCAGTTTGATGAGCTTCTTCAGGACTTGATCTGTCACCTACAAGATAATAGAGAGACAGACAGACAGACAGACAGAGACAGAGAGGAGGGGGAAGAGGAAGGAAAAAAGAAGAGAAAATGAGTAAACAAACCGGCTATTAAAATATTGTTATTATAAAAATACATTTGCTTCAGACATACTCACTCAAGAGAGGAATGTCTACAAGCCGTGCCCTGTCCCCTAGCAACAGATCAAACTACACATCATCCACCACCCACACACACATAATCGCATTATACATGTCTCCATGTCTAGTGAGGCATGTCACCATATCAGAGACTAGACTGTAGTAATAAAGTGGTTACTATCAATAGTAAAGCAGCTCTTTTATAAAGCAAGTGACGTTAATGCGCGTGAGAATGAATGCAGATACACTTATAATGGAATACGATACCACGTTGTATTATACTCTAACCTGTAATGGAGACTATGACTGACGTACTCCTAGGCGGGAGATGTGGACATATCTCTATCATATCCACGCCACTAGGAGCGCCAACACTTGTGTCGATACCAGGGCCTCTTGGATTACCATCTTCACCACCGGTTAGACCCATCTCCATGTTATCTAGAGAGAGAGAGAGAGAGGCTCAGTTATGTGTATTGGATGCAAGTAGATAAAAATTTCTATAATAATAGCCTTAATAACTATAATGCTATACCCAGAAATATCTATGTTGCTTGTTATTATTATTAATTTTGTGGGCACAAAATTAGGCTGCCCACATGGTGATATCATGATTTCGAGGTGAAAAAATAGTATGGCTACATCCTTTCTGCTAAAAAAAATCGCATCATGCATGCTATGCTGCAGCTCTGGATTATTTTCTTGATAATAAAATAATAAATAAAATTAATATTGATTTAAAACATTAATACCAACAGCTATTGGATATCGAGCGCCCACTCATGCGCGCGGCGCTACTTCCCACGCAAAAAATCCCACCCACGCAACAATTCATTAAAACTTTACAAGAAAAGTAAATAAAAATTATTGCAAACAAAATAACAGGAAAATAAGACGAGGCTGTAAAAGGCAAGGAAAGCCGGGAGGATATTGGTTCTTTCTGCTAAAAGGAAGCCGAATATAATCGTACACGCAAGGCAAAAAGGTACATTTTTGTAGTAGAGATAAGTAATTAATTCACGGCATGATTAACACAACAAACGCCTACGGGAGATAGAGCAATAAGAACAAGCGACAAAACAACCAAGAGAGAGGTTCGATTGTTGCTCGAACACTTTAGCATGCAAAAAGAGCTGTAAAGCATACTGCCCTTAATTTCTTACACAGCTCTAACTGCAAACAATGCCTCACAACACAATTTCTACAACTCAAAAGAGAAAGAGAAGGCACAAGGCATCAGACTAGACTTACCATCTTGATCTTCTGTAGACATGTCCTCTCCGTCACAAATCAGAGAGAGAACGAGAGAGAGAACTGGCTAGAAGAGTGTGAAGAGATAAAGACCCGCAGCTGAACTTCCTTTCTGCTATGCACGAGTCTACGGACTTGGTCGTCCGCACACGGCAGTAAAACTTACAAACCGCCCACGCAATAGATCTCTACCAAAATGGCAACTCTTACCACCGTTCCTTTGTTGCTCCTCGTCTTGTTTTTGTGCCCGTCCTTCACTTTGGCCTGGTCTCAGGTAGAGCTGGATCTATTTGATTTAGTAGAAGAAGTAAACGAAAACTTTTACGACTTTCTACAAATCACACAAGTAAGAGAACAAAGGAACGCATGAATGATTATATATATATAATATACCATCCTAGGATGCTTCAGCGGCTGAAATCAGAAGATCCTATCGGAAACTATCACTACAGTATCATCCAGACAAGAACAGAGATGATCCAAATGCTGCAGAGACATTCAGAAAAGTCATTTTAAAATAATAAAATATGTATATAAATAGTATAATAATATTATGCATATTTATCCATAGATGTTATACAAGCAAACATTTCACCTCACTTATCACCTTGTTGCCCTTGTAAATGATGCCTTCTTTTTTATTGCAGATAGGAGCTGTTGCTGACATACTAAGGAACGAAGAGACAAGAGAAATGTAAGACATATTGATAATTGCATTATGGTGACAGTTTAGTTTAGCAATAAGGATGTTTGTTATCATGAGTACTTAATTTATTTTATTAGGTATAATGAAGTGCTGCTGAATGGATTGCCTGACTGGAGACAACCAGTTTATTATTATAGAAGAGTTAGGAAGATGAGTCTCATAGAATTATCCGGTCTCCTATTGGTAGTCATCATTGTTGGTCAGCTCCTGTATGGCTGGGCCCAGTATGCAGAGAAACAACTTGTACTGGTAGGGAAACAGAGAGAGAGAGGGGGGGGGGGGAGAGTAATGTAATCCATTGTTATTCCTTCATGCATAGAGTACAAAGTCTTTCATGTGCTGAAGGATATTGAATCCAATTCATAACCACAAAAACAGAAACAGGCTATGCATGTACATTCTATGTATGCGACATAAAGGCTCTCATGTGTGGTCATTCTCTAATCCCATTACATATTTAACACTTATTATCAGTATTTATCCACAACAATTCCACATCAAAGCCTCCATCTTAATCTGCTCCATTAATTGATCATGTGTTTGCGTACATTTTATCCCCACATGCATTATATATGATGTCGACTGTGTGTGTCTTTGCATATTATCATGCCTCGAATTCCTGTGGAATCGATTTTTATGTAATCAAAATGCTTTCTCACTCACGCACTCACTTCCCCCTTTATTTTGAGCCGCCTTTCTTTACATGCAGTATGACCTACGGCAGAAGAAAGAAAAGAAAGACAGGAAGCTAAAAGGACGCAAAGGTCCCCAGCAAATATCTCAGCTTGACGCTGAAGTACTTTATCATGAAGCACTAGCTAAAGGTAAGTCGCTCATGATGCTACCCTCGTTTTTAGATTTTTTTTTAAAACAGCTGCACTTCCTCACTACAGCAAACTACTGCCTTGTGTTCTTGTCAAGAAAACGCTTCAGTATTCTTTTGTATTGATCTGTATCTTATGGTCATTGACTAAAAGTAGAAAGCAACAAGAGAGCAAAGGAGGAGAGGAGAGAGAAGAGGAACAAAGGATCCCCTCCAATAAGTATTCAGCCAGAAGCAAGAGAAGACACATAAAAGAAAAGGAGGAGAAGGAGGAGGAGGTAGATGAGGGGAGAACAGAAGAGAGACCTGATATAAAAAGTGATGAAGACACATCAGTTGGAGTAAGCAATGGTGACATTGAGGACTCTGCTGACACACCAATGAGTGAGGAAGAGAAGAAAAGAATTGAGGAAGAAGAAGAGGAAAAGAGAAGGCAGGAGGAAGAGAAGGAAAAGAGGAGAGCTGCTCTGTTGAAAGAGAAGGAGAGAGAGTTAGAGGAAGAGCTGGTGCAACTGGAGGAAAGCATAATGGAGGACGAGAAGAGCAAGAGAAGCAAACGAAGCAACAAGAAGGCTCATTCGTCTAAAGTGAAATCGCCTCTTGCGGATAAAAGTTTAGAATATCAGCAAGAGTGGAAAGAAGAGAAAGAAATAGCGACAGAGTCTAAATCCGTGGATCCTAAAGGAATAGCAATGGATGATGGAGTAGATTCACAGCCATGGAGCCAAGAGCAGCAGAAAGAGTTAGAAAATGCACTTAAGCAATACAACAAGGAGGAGAGCAATAGGTGGGAGCTCATAGCAAGCTGTGTGACTGGAAAAACAAAAGTAATGAAATTTAATGGTAAAATAATTATGCATTTTATCCCTCACTTAATCTAGGATGAATGTATAGAGAGGTACAAAGAACTGGTGGAGTTGATAAGAAAGAAAAAATCGCAATAGATACTGGCATTTTTAGCAACAATTAAGTCAAATTTGAAACCATCAATGTATAAATTGTACATTTTTTGTCTGAAATTCCCTTTTCTTTTATTTTCTAATTTATTTACTGTGCAATAAAAATCTTTCCGTAATAATAATAATAATAATAATAATAACGATATCGATTATTAATATCAAGAGTAGGTGATCCAAATCTTCTCAACAAAAAAAATAATGCCAGATTGTACTTAAGATATATATTGTGTTAAGAAATTAATGCACATCTCACAACCTCTTCCCAAAAGAGAGAGAAGTCAGGACAGAGAGAGAGGGAGAGAAGAGGAGAATGAGACTAACACTCAGGTACTATGTCTATGGTAAGAACTAGGACTAGTGACGCTCACTGGTAGACCTGTATACGCTGCAATCGGCCCCTGAACGGAATTCGTCACTCGAGTGATCTCGTTGCCGTGGTGACCTGCGGTGGGCGGGGTCATCAAAACATGCGACGCGTCGGATGAAGAACTAAAGGGATAGAGAGTGAGAGAGTTGGAGGTGACGTGGTGAGCCTGTCTATCAGAGAATGACGATCTGCCGGGACCGCCCGAAGAATTATGAGAGCTGTGAGTTGAGGTAGCTGCTACCAAACTACCGTTATGCCTGCCTGAATCGAAAAGGGGTCCAGGGTTGGGAGACTGATGAAGAGGGTTAACAGTGTGGTGTTCTATATCATTAGATAACCCTCCACTTGATCCGCTGTGATTGAACGTCCTATGATTATCACTGGCCCTGAGTGTGTTATCAGATGATAAGAGTTGGATACCATTCAATACTTTGTGTATATTTCCCTCTGCTAGGGTTTGTCTAAGGCGAGCGTTTGTTGCAATGAAGAACTCTCTCTGTGAGGCCAGCTCCATTATCCTTGCTTGCATGATCCTGTTCTCCGACTGGAGCTCGTGCAGGTGAGCTAACATTATACCAGCTATTGGAGAAAGGGGGAGAGAGAATGACATCATTCGTTACAAGGTACACACACACAAATGTAATTAAATATCAATGAGTCTACTCTTTGTGTTTGTGTATGGATTTCTAGAGACATCAAACACATCATTACACCCTCAAGTCCACAACAAACTGTCCACACAAACACACACATCACAAGACGTTATACAAATGAAGTATATGGACATAAATCAACCACAGACAGACACACAAACAATATGATTATCAAGCAAGAAGACATACAAGCACGGATTGTACCGGCCGGGGTTTCCCACAATGCATGCTAAGTGAGCTACATGTAAAAAGCAGGTTTCATGAGCTGACAGCATTTTAAAGTAACTTTTTAAAATTGTAAAAAAATCCAATTTTGTTCGGAATCAGCTTAAACTTGCTACACAACATAAGAATATGTATATGTATCAGGAAAAATTATTAAAATGAAGAATTCTCTCCTAGTAATTTTTGGCAAAATTCGAGCAAAATCCCTGTACAGGGACTTTGGCTCGATTTTTGAGCAAATTTAAAAATTCATAAAAATCCAATTTCGATTGGAATCAGCTCAAAATTAAAAAAAAGCATAAAGTACATGTACATGCATGTGAACATATATCCCTTCCTTCCTCACCGTTGTTTTGTCTGCCTGCCTGATCTAAAATAAACTGTGCTGTTTGCTCCCACTGTCTCTCTAAAAGCTCCTGTAAGCTTAAAGGAGGACCAGACTGTATAGCAGTACTACGGGAGAAAGAAAGAGAGAAGAAAGATAAAATGAAAGAAGAAATAATTATGAATAATAATACCTGTTGCTACTAATATTAGCTACTGCAGAAGAAGAAGGTTGAAGATTAGAACTGCTAGCAATCGTTGAAGAAGACACTGCTGATTGTTTCTGGGATGTGCCAGAATTTGTAGTGGATTTACGTTTCCTCCCCCCACCACCTCCTCCCCCACCACCTTTTCTTTTACTAGGATTCTGCTCCTTAACAGTCAGTATAGGCTCGCCAATACTGAGATCAGGAGGACCGTACGTTTCAACCGGACGAGAAGATGGCGGCGAAAAAGACTCCAATTTCTCATGCGATGGAAGTGATGTCTCACAATCAACAACCTGGTCAAAGTTCTGAGTAACCGAGGCCAGTAGGTCAAGATTTCCACAGTCAAGCATTTCCCTGGGTCCTTCCCTTCTCTCCATGATATCTTTACTAACATTGGTCTCCATTGGTAAAGAAGGAAGGAGGGAAGGACTGGAAGTGGATACAAGAGAAAGGACACTGTTACTATTATTATTATGGAGTGAAATCTCATTGGTGCTCGAGGGAGCTTCGGATGTAGAACTCTCATTCGACGAAGAAAGCTTCCTCCGTCTATACTTCCGTTTATTTGATGAGATACCAGCATCACTTGAAGTTCTCTTGAAGCTTCTCTCAGCTCCGCCTCCTCCAATGTGAGATGAATCCTTGGACTTCGAAGGAGGGTGTTTGGAGATAGTGGGATGAACATGACCCAGATAAGAGTGCTGGTGGGTGGAGTTGTGATCAAGTGATTGATTAGAGCCTGTCTCTGTTGGTCCTTGATTATCAGCAGAAGAGAAAGGAGGAGGAGGAGGTGGAGGAGGGAGGGACTGGGGAAGGGCTGGAGGATGAGATGATGCAGGGATGGGTGGGTTTCCTTTACGAAAGCTTTGCTGTTGCTTTAACTTTTGCTTAACCTATTGAGGTATGGGAATATGTACACATAGAATTAATATTCTTTAGCACTCTTTCTCTCTCTCTTACCATTCTCTTATAGTGTGTACTGCAATATCCACAGTAGATGATATTCCTCATGTCTCTAGGGTCTTCCTCTTCAACTAGTAACTGCTCCTTCTGAGCACTGCAGAGAGAGAGAGAGAGGGGGGGGGGAGTGAGAGTCAAGAGTTATATAAAGTTCATTATGCGTACCATGTGACATGAAACGTAAGCCTGCAGTTGCTCTTATGGCAAGACATACAAGCACCAGTTGAAGCTTGAGTCTCCTGACCCAACTCCTCACAGATATAGCAAGCCTGAAATAGAATAAAAGGATAGATACAATAGATATTAGATAGATATGATAAATGAAGAGGGAATTAAATTGTTCTTATACTTTAGAGAATCTCTCTTTAGGTAGTTTCGTGGTGACGATTGGTTCCATTGTCCTCAGGTTCCCAAAGGTTACTTCAGGGATGTACAGTGCACACACTACATGGGCCCAGCCTATGGTTAATTAAATGGGTGTGGTTTAAGCATGAGCAATAATTACAAAGTAATAAATGGCAAATAAATTTCACATTGTTTTTATGATAATTAAATGTTTAATTTTAAGGGCAAGTTGCCAAATTGTAATTATTTTAGTTACTACGAATGATAATAACACTCAGGGTTTCCCACAAAGCATGCTAAGTAAGTGAGCTAAAAAGCATGAGCTTCATGAGCTGACAAGCACTAAAATACATCACATGGCATTTGGAGCAACTTTTAAAAATTGATTAAAAAAAATCCAAATTTGATCAGAATCAGTTAAAACTTTCTACATAACATAAGTAGATGTGTGTGTATCAGGAAAAAAGATTTAAAAAATCGAGAATTCTCTCCTGACTATTTTTGGCTAAATTTTTGAGCAAGTTTTAAAATTCGTAAAAAAATCCAATTTTTATCGAAATCAGCTCAAAATTTCTATACAGCACAAGGACTTGTATGATGTATTAGAAAAATATTTAAAAATTGAAAAATTTTTCCTAGCAATTTGAAAAAAAATACCCAGCATAGTATATAGTATTTTGTCAGCAACTTTGTAAAAACCATAAGCACTATGTCAAAATCCAAGATAATAATAATAATAATAATAATAATAATAATAATAGTAATAATAATAATAATAGTAATAATAATAATAGTAATAATAATAATAATGTTAATAATAAAATAAATAAAATAGTAATAACAATGCGTCTTACTTCCAGTGTCGGTCCGTTTTAGTGCGCCATCTTTCTTTGGACACAGTTCACATTTCTGAGACAAATAAAAATGAGACATAAGGAGAGAAAGAGGAACGTCTTTCACTTACGACACGAGCAGCTCTTTCTTGGGACTCACACTTTCGACAGAACCACACGCCAGAGGGCACTGATACAATACCATAACATGCTACAGAAGAAGACGAAGAGAAAGAAATAAAAAAGAAATGATTCTAATTAATGCCTAATAACAAAAAGTACATCAAAAGGCTATAATAAATGCTCATTCCTTATTCAAAAGGTTAAAAAAAGGATAGAAAAGGCTACCCAAAGCTTAAAAGTAACACCTCATAGCTTGGTGCACTTCTGAGAGGAGAAAGAAGAGTAAAATTATTCTCTGAGGCTACCTTGGTGTACAATGATCCCACAGCCTGATCCACCACAACGAAAGAGCCTGTTCTCGGTCGTTTCTTTCCCATCACTACAAACACAACAAGACTTGGCCATTTTAAATGACTCGTATACGGAGATGAGCGGAGAATGGACAAAGATAATCTGCGTGCGTAGGTGTAGGCTCGTAAATCGGAAAATATCCAAAAATAAACTGAAATTAAAATGCTTTTAATATCCAAAAGTGTCCTGGAATTCGCGGAAACAAACGTGACAAGTGTGTCTTCATTGGGAGGATATCTCGGAGGACATATCAACACTGACACAGTCTCCCTCACTCTCTCTCTCTCCCCCTCTCTCTCTTATTAAAGATGGCCTCTTATAACGCTGGTACTGTGGCTGTTCCTCCTCCTCCTCCCACTACAAACACTTCGTTAGAGGCTCATCAGTTAGCCCAGCAGTACCAACAGAACTCACAACAGACTGGCTCAGTCATTGATCCTAAAACTGCTGGCCTCTCTATGGAACCCGGCTCCTCAAAGAAACTCATAAATCACGACAGTCCGCCATTTTCTCGCGTCTTTGTCGTCTGCAGTAAAGGAATGAAAGAAGAGGAAGTACAGGAGGCGTTTGCTGTATTCGGACCAATTGAGGATATATGGATGGTTAAAGATCGGATGACGAAAGAGAACAAGGGTATATGTTATGTGAAATTTGAGAGGGCATCATCAGCAGCCGCTTCTATTGAAGCATTGGATGGCAAAGTCATTGGTAGTGACCCTAAACCAATAAAAGTCAGTGTAATTCAGCCTGTCCTTATTATATGTGAATGAGTAATGGGTAGTGGTTTGCTTTGACTTGGAAAACGTGTTTAATTATACTGTATATGGGGGGAGTATTTACACATTTCTTCATGTACATTATTTCTTTTTCCTCAGGTAATGATTGCCTCGTCAAAGAACACTGCCATTAAAGCTGACTATAATGACGAATCGGCAAGAACCCGCCTCTTTGTTGTATGTCCTAAGGAATACAGCGAACAGGATCTCAAAGCTAAATTCGAACATTTTGGAGACTTTGATTTTTGTAATATAATCCGTGACAAGCACACCGGAGAGAACAAAGGATTCGGTTACGTCAAGTTCACTCGTGCCTCTACTGCTGCTGTTGCTATGGAGAACTGTGACAAAGCCTTCAAGGCTGTTCTTGCCGAACCAAAATCGGCAAAATTTGCTCGTGATGCAGCAGCTGCCGCAATCAGAGAAACACAGCAGCGTCTCAAAGAGGCTTATCCCTTCAGTGCCTCTCCTACTCACGGGAGTGCCCCGTCTGAAATATTCCAGACGTACGGGTTTGGGTTTGAGCCGACTGGAGGGAGTGGAGTGAAAGTCGAGCCTGGTATCAATAACAGGCTCTACGTGATTGTATCTCCGGCTGTGCAGGAAGAACAGTTGACGAGACTCTTTGATATAATCCCTGGGCTAGACTATTGCGATCTCAAGTGTAATCACACAACAGGCGAGTCCCGTGGTTTTGCCTACATCACGTACAACACTATCAATGCTGCGATGTACGCCAAGGAGAAACTGAATGGGTTTGAGTACCCGCCCGGGTGTAAACTAGTTGTGAAATATGCCGAAGACCCGCCTAATATCCGCTATGGGCCTCCCAGTCCAACTTTTGAGTCCTCTTATCATTATCACTCACCTCCTCACTCTCCAATGAGGTCTCCTGTACGCTCCGTCTCTCCCGTCCGTCCGCTTGGGTTTCCAAGACAACGCAGAAACTCTCTGGGATCCGAGCATGACGGACGCGTCTTCTTTGTCTGTAATCCATCTCCTCCCTCTGATCAAGTCCTTCGCTCTGTCTTCGGCAGGTTTGGGGTCCTCACTGATATATGGGTTATCAGGGGAAAGAACTACGGCTATGCCAAGTTTGTGACGCGTCAAGCTGCCGAGTCAGCCATAACAGCACTCCACGGTATGGAGGTGTTTGGTGTGAAGCTGAAGGTCATGTTGGCCGATCCTCCGCCCGAGGAAGGAGGATTACGCAATAAGCGTCAAAAGACGAGCGCTGCTGGTGGACCTACGAGCTTTCCTCTTGGTCCACCCCAGCCACCTGCAATCTTTCCCAACATGTGAAGAATGAGAATCCTGTCCCCCCCTCTCTCTCATCAGACTCATACATTATGTACAATGTACTTTTTTTCAATTTTTTCAGTTTACACTGACATTCCTCAATTTTCTGTAGATATTATTATTATTATTATTACTTATTACTTATTACGAGACTGTGACCATGGTAGAATTCTAACTTAACATAATTTGGAACGATTGACTGACTTTATTTTAAAATAAATCACAATATTCAATTGTTCATAATAATGATTAATATAATAGTGATAATAATAATAATAATAACAATGATTATTCTCTTATGATCAGCTCTAAATATAATAATGAGCTACCTGTCTTCATCATCGCTCTCAAGCTCATCATAATCTTGAGGAGGAGGAGGAGGAGGGGGTACCTGAGCAGGTTCTGAGGGTAACAGTTGTCCTATGTTGCTATTCCTTAATGTTTCTAATCTAGGACAGCCTAAAGAGAGAGTAAAATATATGTCTCCCCCTCTATCTAACTCTCACCATTGTCTCTTAAGAGTTCAATGGTTACTCCTTCAGTAGCACAGGTCCAGTCAATATTTAACATTATTAATGAAGGGAGACCGAGTCTCAGTAATCCTATATATGAGAGGGGATTAATGGAGAGGGTTAAGCCAGTGTGTCACACATTCCTTGTGTGTGTGTGTGTGTGTGTGTGTGTGTGTGTGAATGTGTGTGTGTGTGCATCATGCCAAGCAGCTGCTACAACAATCACTCCATAGGCTGACCTTTGTCATCCACAGATGTCCTGACAAGGTTTAGCTTCTGAAGCCTGAGTAGTCTAGCCACAGCACCGTCCAATATAAACTGACTGGTCAGCCTGTTTGCATTTGTAATTAATAAAGAAAAAAAGAAATTATAGCACATCAATATTATTATCATAATACTATACATGTACAATTACTAAATAAAAAGCATACAAAGCATGATACAAAAGTTGCTTTCTATCTGACATGTATGTGGGCAACCCTAATAATATTACAATCCTAATAATATGCTAATCTACGGCTCATTAACTTTGTATGGCCCAATGGTATGCAACTGATTAGTATAACCCATTACCAGTGTGGTAATACAATATAGTAAACCACAAATTGAGTTTCACACGGTACAGTACATGTACCGCCTCCAATATGTGATGTGATGCGATTAGCATATGCTAAACTGTAATACAATACATCTCTGTCTATACCTTGTGTCGGAAAGACTCAAATCTTCCAAGTCAACCAAACCTGTTTGTGTGTGTATAAGTGTGTGTACAGGAACATAATACAATTAAATAAATAAATCTTCTTTTAAATTTTACCAGAAATGCACATCATCCCATTGTCTGTAATGCCAGTATTGTCAAGTGACAGCTGCCTCAAGTTAGTCAGCTCTGTTTTAATATTATTTTATAATAATTACATCAAATGCCTACAAACCTTTGATATAATTCATTCCTTCATCTGTTAGTCTAGTACGCCCAAGAAACAATTGTGACAGACTAAAATAGAAAGAAGGAAATATGTGAACATCTCCAGGTGTACACGTGCATCAGAAAATGCAATAAAAAGTTTCATAAAATGAACCTCACCATTTCATTTGACTCAAGCAACGAACACCATAATCAGTGATGTTACGATATCCAGTCAAATCAAGGCTAGTAAGAGGAAAGCCTGAGAGCAGTAATGAAAAGGAGGGATATATCAGCTGAAAAAAAATAGTAAGAGTTGTTTACTTGAAATAGTGAGCATGTGCTGATCGAAAAATCCACTTCTTTCGGGCAATATGAATGAGGTTAACTTGAGACCTACAATTTTAAAGATGAAGGGACGAGAAGCAAATGAAAAAAAATACCAGCCAAAAGCTTTAGCTGCTGACAGTCGACAGGAATGTGAGAGAGATTGAGAGAGGATAAGGCAGTGGAGTGAGCCAGTGGTCCCACGTTCCCTTCTATCGGACAGCGTGAGAGATTGAGAGAATGCAACTGCTCCAGTGATGATAATGGAGATAGGTCAGAAACCTAGAATAACAGGAGCACAAAAATGTATAATCTCTTTAAAAAGTATATCTCTAACTGTAGTGGATTCTATATTCAAAATTCTCAAGCCAGGTGCCTCTAAAAAATTTTAAAATATCATAGCATCAAATATTAATAATTATAGAGACTCACGTTGTCCCAATCTTGTGATACCTTTTGAAGATACTAAAGTGTAAGAGACGTCTAATTCTTGAAGTGAAGGGAGAGGAGATCGGAGGAGGTACATGAGTCCAGTGTCAGTGAGCTTTAGAAATGCTAGCCGGAGTACAGCGATACTACTAAAACCTTAAATAAGTTTTTTAAATCAAATACTATAGCTAGGAGTCTTTTCAAGTACTTTTGAAATTTTGAAAACTTTCGTCTGATATTTGCTGACATTCATTGAGATTTAGAAACGATAGATTAGGCAGATCTAAACATAATAATCATACATGTACATGTACATGCATATAATGCATGTACGTATTAATCTTACATGGTAATAACTGCATCAAGGATTTATCAGTGATGAGATTACACGACACAAGACTTAGATGAGTAATACTAGGAAAATACCTACAGCAAAGGCAATAAAAAGCTAAAATTAGTAACAGATAACAATACAATAATCATGATTGTTACTAAAAATAGTACAGGCAATGTTAAAAATATATAGCATATAGTACACTTACTTGACCATATCCAGTAACTGGTTTGTAGCATAACAATAATTATCAAGTACTAATGACTGTATAGGACTAAAGAGGAAAAAAAGAGCAACATTTAATTTTGAACTGGTAATCTTTTAAAAAGACTTTTAAAAAAGAAAGTTAAGTTTTCTCTAACCATTTTAAGAACATGTTGAGCGTCTTTGGATGTAGCTGCTTGGCCCTGGCAAGAGCGGTCAGAAGCCTTTGAGCAGTCCTAGGAGGAACATGAGAGCAATTAGGGAGGAGATCAACACTGCTCCACTTCTCCAACACTTTTATACACAGCATCTCTAGCGAAGGAATGACATGTGACGCACGACCTAATAAACAAAATAAATGAAATATATATTGCTAATATAATAATAATAATAATAATAATAATAATAATAATAATAATAACTTTTGTTGACTGGAGCCATCTTTGCAATGGTCTGGGCTCTCTTTTCTGCTGCTAGTCGAGCTACAAAAGTGAAGAGTATACTAATAATATACTAATAGTATCCATGCATGCACCTGTATCGGTCACATGTTTGCTCATGGCCTGTGGGTCTCCAAACCTCATTGGAGCCTCACTACCACCGAGTCTATGACCTTCGCCCTCAAAAACCATCCCACGACCCTAATGGAAAAAGTCAGTAAAACTCCGGTATACATTCCAGTAAAACCCAGTATACTTTAGTAAACTCACAGGTTGCAAAGGAGGGAAAGGCAAGCCTCTACCAGGTGGAAATGGGTGAGGTGGGAGGCGGCCTGGTATTCCACCAGGATGTGGGTGTGGCAATATATGAGGATTTTCTCCTTCTTCCATATCATCATCATCATCATCATCATCATCATCATCATCATCATCATCATCATCATCATCATCATCATCATCATCATCTTGATCTCTCTCTTTCCCAGGGTCAACTGACTCTGGCATTTCAACATCAGCTTTGAATAACAATAAATTAAAAAGCAATGATTAAAACATAAATGTACATGTACAATGTACATGTACATAAACACTAAACTATAACTTATAAATGAAGCTTTTATTGTGCATTAGTAGATGTACATACCAGGTGGATTTAGTGAGGCTTGTGTGGGTTTCTTGCTAACGACGAGAGAAGCAGAAGGACAGAGACCCAAGCTAAGCAAAGACTGTGAGTGCTCTTCCACTGTGAACTCCTTATGAGGGAAGGGCTAAGGAAAATAATACAATTAAAAATTCATCATATTGTACAAATTTAAAGTGATAGACTGATAGTGATAAAGTACTTACCTGGACTAGCTGAATATTTGCAAGTGATGGATGGGTGTCAGCAATAAATTTACTAACATCGCTTAGAGCTGATTCAGAGGGAAAAGAATGACGAAGAACACTCCCGTTAGGCAGACGTACCTGAAATGATATCATCATCAACATCATGAGGCTAAGTGAGCTAAACAGCATGAGCTTCATGAGCTGACAAGCACTACAATACAGTACATGGCATTTCAAGCAAATTTAAAAATTCATAAAAAATCCAATTTCAATCAGAATCAATTCAGACTTTCTACACAACATAAGTACATGTACATGTATGTGTATCAAAAAAATTATAAAATGAAGAAGTTTCTCCTAGTGATTTTTCTATAAATACTCTGTAGTACAGGGTCTTTGACCTAATTTTTGAGCAACTTGACAATCCACTGGGTTATGCCTACCTGTACTCTGCATTGCTGTGCTGAGCCAGTGGTAGCTGCTGTAGGACTAGGGGCAGTCAGTGGTGAACTAGACACTGGAGTCGTAGGAGTTGTGGAAGACCTGGAAGAGCCCAAAGCCTTATTTGCCCTTCTTTGCTTGTCCTCCTCGATTTGCTGCAGGACAATTGCTTTTGCCTAAATAAATAAATTAATAAATAATATTTCTTATTGATTTACTGACTCTCATTTCATCGACTTTCCTCTCTCTTGCTTTCTTTAATGCGTCGTCTCTCTCCTTCATCAGAAATTCCTCCTTTTTCTTTCTCTTCTCATCAGATAAATCATACCTACATGTACAAGTAGGAGTGCAAAGGTCAACATGATTGTGCATTGTAAGACAAACACAATGAGACAGCAAACACCATAAAATAAATGTATCAAATTACCAATAATAATACTATGTACATTAACATATACTTTCAAATGTCCATAGCTAAAACACTATTATATATAAATCAAACTTTCTAAATGACATCAATGTTAAGTTATAGTCAATTTTTGCAATCAAAATCATGTATATACATGCTACATACTACAGATGCTCATACGTTAAACTCAAGCACAACTACCATCACTGTAGATGCATGCTAGCACACCTGCTTCTCAGAGGAACAGAATAATCAAGAGCAGATCCAGAAGACATTGGACGACTGATACTTGAAACTCCTCCCCCTTCTGTTGCACCAGTAGTTGCACTAGACGCCTTGTCTTGTGCATTACCTCCTCCTCCTCCTAGTCTTAGTGTTGGTCCTGCTTGAGTCTGGGATCCAGTATGAGGCATCTGGCGCTGCAGAATCCTAAGAAAAGAATACCATACTTTGTTTGTCGCTATCAGTTACACTTTACCAGTCAGTGGCAGACTGTAGAGTAATGGGAGAACCAGAAGAAGTCAGAGCAGTCTCGCAGGCTCTGATGGACTCTTGATCAAACCCCATTTCAAGGAGCTGAGCAATGAGGGAATCGGAGAGCAAATGTGTTGCATTAGCAGCCATCTTGTTTAGGCGTGTCGGTTTAGGGGCGGGGTTGCACGGTTTTAATATCTGATTTTAATTTTTCCCTACGGCCGGCTACGCATGCTCATAACTTAAGAAAATGGCCGCCTCTTTGAAGGAAAGAGACATTGGTAAGATTTATGCTATCGGCACGGCTGTCTCTTGTGAAGTAGAAGAGAGGGTGATCTGCAGAGGATACGTCATCGCGTTTGATAATCTCACTAAGTCAATAATAATCCGTATCCTTCAGGATCTAATATTAATCAATGTTCATGTCTTCTCCGAAATGTACATGTACACCATTATTGTTTTAGATTCCTTTACAAATTAATAGAGAGTTCACAAACTGACAAAATTCACATAATCAATCTATCTAATGTCACAGTCAAAAGCACCTCGTCATCTGATAAACCAAAGTAAGAACAATCCTGATGTGTGCTTTTAATTTCAATTACTGCTCTATGTGTATTAGATATATAGGAAAACAGAAAGTCGATCTGAATAAAATTGAGCAGAAATATCAAGAGGCGATCAAAAAGCGCAAAGAAGAGCTGAGTAGGATCGGTGATGGTGTTAGCATGGAGGCCCAGCTCCTTTTTGATCGAATATTTAGCATATAGTAAGTCATAATATTTTTCCTTGTTGAATGTATTCTTCTTTCTTTCTTCTCTTTAGCAACCAAACTGTCTGGGATGGTAGTACAATTGTAGTCATGAAAGACGTTAGGATATCTCCTCCTTACGGACCAGAGAACTGTACAGGGTCCACGGATGCATTAGAAAGAATTCAAAAACTAGTATGTGTATTTTTAGCAGTGATTTTATGTCAACAATTGCCTAGGTAACACGTTTTAATAATGACAGGACGTCATCCAAACCTGCTACTTGACACACGGCCAGTGGTCCCAGATTATTCTACTAATTATTACATGTATATTACAGTTATTATAATTATTCTCGACTATTATTATTATTATATTGTATTTTCCTCTCTTTATAACCATTGCTTTGTGTTAAACCTGTATAATATCCAAGCTCTATTTATTTTACTCATTACTGAACTGTATTAAATTATTCAAATATTTTAATAAACTTTCTGCGCATGCGCACAAGCTTGTTTTGAAATTCATTTTCTTGTTTGCGAGCAATTCAAATTCAAAATGGCTGCGTCAGGGAAAGCTGTTCGAGGCTCTCTAGTTGATATGTTTGACGACATAGTCACTGGAGCCGAGATCCTTTCCAAAGGAACAGAGAAAGGTAGGACAAAGTACCTTTATTTTGACCAGGCGTCATTTCTTTTCTAGCATTTGCCGATTACTTGACTCATAGTATTGATCTCGTCTCTCATGAAGTCGAGAGGCTAAAGAAAGAAAATTCAAAGCTTAAGAAAGACAATGAAGCAAAAGACATCAAGTTGAAACTATCCAGGTTTGTTTTCTGTTGAGAAACCTCACTTATTACTATTGCACACCACATCTCCTGTTTGTCTCATTAGGAAAAGCCTTGAAGACCAGATGAATGAATGTATATTGCTTAAGAGTCAAGTCAAAGAAAACGTAAGTATTATAGAAGGGCCGCACATTTGTTAATTAAGAAAGATTGAGGTTTGAAATGAGCACTGAATTGGTTGAATTAATAATCATATCGTACTTATTGTAAATAGGAGAGGCAGCGCAACATATTGATATCCCTCCTCACTGATGATAAATCAATTGATAAAGCAGCTACTCATAATGAAGTGGAGCGGCTCGGTCTTGCCCTCCTCAAGAGGAACAGTCAAGGCGCCAGTCCAGGAGGGTGGGTACTTACTTATCGGGTTTTTCACGATTACATATCTCTTTGTTTTAGGTTTTTGAGTGAGTCGGGAGAGTGTCCAACCTTCTCTGAAGCAAGTGTCAACATGACTGATGCGACCGATATTGATGATGATGATGATTCTTGTAAAGCTGCCACTTGGAAGAGGGTAAGTCATGTGACAATCATGTGATCATGAATACACCACTCTCTCTCTCTCACACACACAGAGGAGGACTGCTAGTGTGGAGTGGGCATTAGAATCCTCATGCTCTAAAAGAAGGAGACCAGTGGTAAGTAATGGATGAACTACATATTGAGAGTTACTGGATACCCGAGGCTGTTGCTTGATTAGAAGCCAAAGTGAAGCAGAGGCTCCTAATGTATCAACCAACAGTACAAGCAGCCTAGCCAAGTGTATATCCAGTAACACAAAACATCAGTAGTTTATCTGGTTTGTACAATAGTGTGTGGGTGTATCAAAGATGTACATGTAGGTGTACTATGGGTTTTTTAAATATTTTTGTTTAGCTCTCTTACATTATTAGAATAATTTTTCTAATAGGATTTTCTTGATGATAAAGAGAACACAGGTAGTCCTGCCCTCCCTCCTGCTCTGCCTCCGTCAAACAATCTACACATTTTGCCTCATTTAGATCGTGAATTTAAGAAACCAACTCCAAACAAGAGTAAGCGCAAACCAAGCCATGGACACCTCCACATGATGAAGCAGCAGAGTCAGCCGACGCCCACACCTCCGGAGACTTCTCCTCCCAAGACTCCGCCCATTACTGTCCCGCCTCTTAATCTTCCTCAGTTGGGTGACGAGAGTCCAGTCCCTTCAGCACCATCAGGTGGCTCATGAATAATTCATGTACTCTTGTGAACTGTGTACATATATTCTTGTTGTTGTTGTTTGTTTGTTTGTGTTTATTTGTCTTTGATGTTTGATTCAATAATATGAAATGTTTTTATCGTCTTTTTCTCTTCCTTCTCTCTCCCCTTCCTTTAGAGCATGAAGTTGCACTAGTGAATCAGGGTCTCTTGTCCCCTCACTCCCCATCTCCCCATCCTTCCCCTCATCCCTATTCCCCTCAGCTCCCTGGTGGCTCTCCCTGTTATGAGGCCGACCCGCTTGCCTTGACTCCTCCTCTTTCCTCTGCCACTAACAGGCTGTATCCTAACCTAATCGAAGGCGGAGGGGATGAAGCTGGTTTTTATGAGGGACAGTTTGGAGCCACTCCTCTTTATCAGGAAGTTAATTATGGGATGGGATCAAGATCTTCATCACATATTAATCTGCATAGAGTAAGATCTCTTTCTCTCTCTCTCTCTCTCTTTACGTATTTGACTGCTTATCTTTTAAACAATCCCTTACTTTTTCTCTCTCTCTCCACAGAAGCACAGTTTCTTGTCAAAGACTATTATGAAGTCTGAAAGCTGTCAGGTGGTAAGTCACCTCCCTCTCTGCTCTTCTCCTTTCACTGAATTTATCTTCTTCTTTCTTGCTATTTTAGTGTAAGAAGAAAGTTGGGTTTGGTAAAAGTTGCTCCAAGTGCAAAGGTATAATACTTTTTGCTTTAAAACCGATTGGTTTGATTTTGATATGCTTTTAGATTGCAGAGCGTTGTGTCATACCGAATGTAAAGAGAAGCTGCCATTGCCTTGTGTGCCTACAGTGCACACTCCTAAGAAGAAGCAAAAGGTATGAATTATCTCACAGTAAGTATCCTAGCTCCTCCATTCCTCTCCCCAGGAGTCTGGTCTGTCTGCCTACTGTCCTCACACAGTCCCTCGTGTACCGTCCCTCATCGTTCATTGCGTTAATGAGATTGAGTCACGTGGTATGAATCAAGTCGGTCTATACAGGGTATCAGGGTAAGCATGATCAAGCCCTTGATCTGGCCCCTATACCTTTGAAACCCTCTTCCTATAGTTCAGATAGATCTGCTAAAGAACTCAAGGAGCGTCTCCTGGCTGCTAGGGGCACTCCTAATTTTGATAAAGTTGCAGATGTTAATGTTATTTGCGGCTGCTTAAAGCAGTTCCTACTCCAGCTAAACGAGCCCCTGGTCACTAATGAACTTCGCTCTTCCTTCTTAAATGCAATAGGTAAATCATAATAATAATGATATACCATTCAAGCAGCAGCTTATTAATAATCATTTTCCCTCTGCACATTCAGATAATGAAGAGATGGCATTGCATAACCTTTTGATCTCCATTGCTGCCCTGCCTTCTTGTAATAAGCACACACTTGCATTCATCATTCTACATCTTCAAAAGTGAGCCAAAATGCTGAATTTGGTCCACAATATTAATTCGTGGGATCATGTACTCATGTTTTAGAATTGCAAGTAATTCAAAAGCCAACAAGATGACAGTTGAGTGTCTCTCTCGTGTGTTTGCTCCTACTATCGTCGGGGCATCCCTAAGTGCCGAGTCCCTCTTTGCCGATATCCAGAAACAGCAAAAGGTAAGACAAGCGCATCAAACCTGTCTGACGGGTTCATGTCGTGACAGGTTGTGGAGCGTCTTTTGAAAATAAGTCACGATTATTGGAGCGAGGTACTATCGTGTGATGATAACCCCGCGCTTCAATCACCCACCCCAAGTCAAGTTACCCTTCCTAGCCCAACAACTCCATGTATCATAAACTCACCTTCTACTCCAGATCTATTGCCTAGTCAGTCATTCATGTAACATTATAATCAGGTTAGGTCTCTTTTTTTCACTTCAGTTCCACAGAGTCCTTTCCTTGGTCCATGCCAGTCACCACAAGGAGGTAGAATACCCCCCAGGACTCCAGTTATTACCAGGTACTGCTGCTTGTGTGTGTGTGTGTGTATTTTTTATGTGAATGACTTTCTTCTATACGTAGGTCAATGAGTAATTCTTCAGTTACTCGCTCAGTCAAGAAGGGAAGTACCTTTTTTGGTGCCATTAATTGATAGACTCCACACACACACGTTACTATTATCAATATTATTATTATTATTATTAGATTAAATCTGGACTAGCATTGTTATTATTATTGTCTGTACTATTCATTATTTTACATTTACATTCTTTACAGCTACTTATTAGTTGTTTTAGTTAAACAATGATAACTTTAGTAGGCAAAATCAACTATTACTAGAAAATAATTATACTATTCTTAAAAGTAGAAAAAAAGTTAATTTTGGTCAGAACCAACTCAGACTTTCTATGCATGAGTGTGCATCAAAAACCCATTGGTTCCATTGTCACAAAATCCATGACAAGCAAAAACCCATCAGTTCCACTGTCAAAATCTGTGACAAGCTGAAACTTTTATACTACATAACAAAGTAATATTGTATGTATTTATTCATGACATAAGAAGATCAATGGCTGCTGTGTGGCTTTTGTACGCTATAAAATTTCCAATAATTATTATTATATATAATACTAACAAAAATGATATAATATAATATAAACAAAATTATATACCTGTTTTAAAAATAGTATTAATAATTATTAATTAAATAAAGTTAAAGTTAATCAGTTCCTGTATCACTTGCTGGATCACTTGTCGTTGTATTCATTTCTGTTTCCGTGGTAACTGGAAACGAATCCTCTTCCCTCCTGGTCGACGGTATAGAGGGTAAAGCTGGTCTACGTAAGTCAGAAGGAGCCTGGCTCACCGGCCGAGTGAGAGATAACGTTGTAGGAGCTCTTTGAAGAGGAGTAGGGACAGTGGCAAATGGATCAGCGGACACACGACGAGACGGCACAGGAGGGAGAACTGATACAGAGGGTTGTCTAAGAGGAGGAGGTCTAAGGACACCGGGCAATGGAGACTGGAGCGAGGGTCTCCGTGAGAGCTGACCAGGTCTGCTACCCTCTGAAGTAATCCCACCACCTGCCTCGCTGGTACTAGTAACGTTCTCGTCAGAGGATGAGGTAATGCCTCCGTGTTCACCAATAGGAGGAAGGGCAGGAGGAGCCAGGACTGAGAGGCTACGCATCACGGGTACTTTAGGCTGTCCAATAGCACCCATTGGAGGAAGCTGTTTGGGTATTAGAGCACCTGGTAATGACTGCATAGGAGCAGTCCGTCCCTCTGGAGTCGGTGAGGTCTGGCCTAGAGCTCTTTGTCCATAAAGGTGGAGTGGTCCTTGAAGAGGAGCTAACTGAGGTGGACTAACGGAGTCCAATGATGGTCTTCTCTGAGGGACATTGACCAGTCGTGGAAGACCCTTTAAAAAGAAAATAATAACAATAATAACAATAAATACATGTAAATAATTATGTGCACTTGTAATTATGAAAGCCTGCATAGTTACATGTATGCTTATATGCATATCAGGGTTTCCTATAAAACCTGCTTCAATATGAAGCAACTTTAAAAATTCACAAAAAATCCTACACAACATAAGGACATAATACATGTACCCAAAAAATATTAAAATGGAGAATTCTATCTTTTTCATTTTTAACAAAATTTGACCAAAATCCCTGTAGGGACTTTGGTCCGATTTTGGAGCAACTTCAAAAATTCATAAAAAATTTAAATGTGATTAGAATTAGTTCAAACTTTCTACACAACATAAAAACATGCATCTGTATCAGAAAAAATTATAAAAATTAAAAATTCTCTCCTTTTAATTTTTGACAAAATTTGACTAAAATCCCTGTACTATAGTACAGGGACTTTGGCCCGATTTTGGAGCAACTTTTAAAATTCATAAAAAATTCGAATGTAATTGGAATCAGTTCAAACTTTCTACACAACATAAAAACATGCATATGTATCAGGAAAAATTATAAAAATTAAAAATTTTCTCCTTTTAATTTTTGATAAAATTTGACTAAAATCCTTGTACTATAGTACAGGGACTTTGGCCCGATTTTAGAGCAACTTAAAAAATTCATAAAAAAATTAAATGTGATCAGAATCAGTTCAAACTTTTTATGCAACATAAAAATGTGCATATACATCACAAAAAATTATAAAAATAGAAAACTCTCTTTTTTTAATTTTGGCAAAATTTGGCCCAAGACCATGTTGCCCAATTTTTGAGCAACTTTAAAATTTAAATTTTGATTAAAATCTGCTCAAAATTTTTAAGACACATGCATCAGCTGAGCACCATGCCAAAATCCTGTGGGAAAACCTGATGCATCCCATTATATGTGTACATGTACTTACCAGTGGTGATAAAGAGTGAAGACTGTTGACACTCTCTCCAGTGGCAGCAGGTGTAGATAGACCCATTCCATGTATTGAGGGTATCATAGGGGCAACCCGTCCTCCTGCCCGTGGTATAAAGCTCTTTGGTATAGCAGCAATAGGAGGCAAGTTCTCATTAGCAGCTGTTGGTGGCCGAGGCATATTCCTGAAGGGATCTTGAGCAGTATCACTAAAAGGATCAGTACTGTCTCTTATAGTCTGTACGTCAGGGGGCTTCACCCAAGGGGCTGGCTTATCCTTCTTCTCTGTCTCTTTTTTGACGTCATACTTCTCTTTCTCCCATCTCTTGACTACTCTCATGGCTTCCTCTCTCTGCTTCTTCTGCTTGTATCTCCTGTAGCAATAGCAGATCAATAGTACAAGCAAGAATACCAGTATTAAACCAATGGCTCCTATAAGTACCCATAGCCATGTTAAAGGTGTGGTCTCTGGCTCACGACAGACAGCTCCTCCACTGAAATCTCCAGCCAAGTTCTGATGAGTAGCATACGCTCGACACGAGAGACCATTAGCTGAACAGACACCAACTGTTTCATGAGAGCCATTATTGGTACAGACGTTAATACCAATGCACTGTGGATACTCGGTGGGATAGTACGTATTGTTGGACACAACATAGCTTCCATCATGAAAGGTATTCGGAGTAAAAGTAAGGGAAAAACTATTGAGAGAGAGGTTTTGACTGGGACTACTGCCAATGGTGATAACAAGGGATGAGGGTGTCGTCCAGCTTCCTGTGTAATCAGAGGCCAGTGGAGGATCAAATCTAAATATCTTGTCAATGTCTGACTTAGTTGCTACAGCGGGTCGATTTGTATCATCACTAAAGGCAATAGTGAGTGTATCGCCTGTACCAACCTCAGTGTGGAGGCAATTGGGATCATTTGCAGTAACACTGGATATAGATGGAGTTATAAAGTTATCATGCACTGTGTAATATGATCCAATGCTGGTCCTTACGGTGTCTCTATCAATTCTTTCTAATATTTCAGCATCAACTCCAAGCAGCTTCTGTATGACAACAGCTAGTGTAGTACGATTGAATCCTCTAGTAATAGCTGAAGTGAAAGCCACTGGATTATTAACTGGATTAATCTTCAGCTCTCCGCTATAACTTACTACACGAAGCGTAATGTCTGATATTATTGGCTGCACCACATCACCTCTTCCACTTGAGGTCTGTCTCTTTCGACGGGCTTCCTCGTCACTAGAAAAATTATTCAAATGTCTCATAGTTTCCTGAATAAGGTTTGGATAAATGTTTTCAATGTTAGAACCGTTTCTGAGCTTATTCTCACATCCAACGACTACAAAAGTCATGTTTTCAGCTAGCTCAGTTCCGTTGAGTATGTACTCGGGAGGCATACGACAGTAATACTGGAGCTGGAAATGAGAGAAAGGCTCTTTTAATATTATCTTTATTTGACTGTCAACAAAAAACAAATCATCTCCCAACTGTGCCGCATCATCTACTTGAACGTTTCTGAGCAGCACTGCTGACAGTTCTGGTAGTCGCAGACCCCAGTTACCAGTCAATGGTGGAGAGACGGATGTGGAATGAATAGAGAATCCGTCTGATGATACCAGACAATAAGGCGTGATTGTAACTCTACCATTTCCATCAATAGCACCACATATCTGCTCAGGATTGTCTCTCACTGCTATTGTCCAGTGGCCAATTTTGCTCTCAGGCTGTGGGTAGCCTTCATCAGTTATATTGATCTGTAATTCTGATGGTGTGATCCAACGGCCTTCGTAGGGATTTAAGATGAGATTGCTAGGTATGAATCTCTGTGGAAAATCAAACAATTTGTCAATGTCATACGTACTGAGCGTAGCAGTGGTAGAATTGTAAGGAGGCATGTTAGTATCAACTGAGAAACTGATTCTAATGGAATCTCCTCTAGACACTTTACTATCAGTGTCATTGCCATTACTGTCAAGGCTTGAGACCGCCATTACACTGGTAATACTAGGCCCCACTGTTGTAACTCTTATATTAGCTGTTGCTTGAGAGCAGAGAGGAAGCCTTTCATCCAGGGATATGTCACATATCTCATAAGTAAAGCTGTCGTAGCCACTGAATGTAGTCTGTGGGGTGTATCTAAAATATGTTAGATTATTCCTGGTAAGTAGCTGAACGGTTCCGTCAGGCTGTGATGTAAGCCGCAATGAACTCTCATTAATATTAGTAGTAGAAGATAGTTGTAACTGGGTGAGATTAAAGCCTCGTGACATGGCATACACAGACTGATAGTCATCAACATCATATACACTGAGGGACGAATTAGAATAGAAATACCCATTGGGAGTGAGTACCCTTGAATCATTAAATGGATCAAGGTCTATTGATATTCCTTGACTGGTCGTACTAACAATATTCTTAATGAGAGGCACATCTCTGTCATTAGCAACTATCAGGCTAACAGTAGCCCTTGCACAAGTGGCACTCTCCGTAGTGCTAACTCCAACTTCATTCTGTCTCACACAGTCCTCATCAATACTTATCTTACCCAGCTCAGACAGGCGACTAGGATCACATGTATCACAGACCATGAAGGTGAAGTTATCGTAGCCAATGAAATTGCTCGGAGGCTCGTAAGTGATGATCCCATAGGACTGGTATATACGAAGATTAGCACCGTTAAGTGTAGTGCCCTCTCTACCTGCCAATCGTTGGTTTGTGTTAGGATCAATGAGATTGATTTTGAGGTCAGTATCAGGGCTCTCGCTGTCACTGGAGTGATCACGTATTGATATCAAATCAAAATCATCCTCAATAACGTCGTGTATAAAACTCTCGGCAGTAGGAGGATCATTAACATTAAGAACAATTATAGTAACAGTACCATTGGTACAATGAGCATCAGTGTCACAGGACTCAAAATATAAATAGTCCATCCCATAGTAGTCCTTATTTGGTGTGTATGTTATAATACCATTCAACCTGTTGAACTGTACAGAGCCACGAGGTGGGAGTGGATCAAGGAGAGTGATGAGAGAGATGGGCGGGGTTTGATCCTCAACGTCAAACGTGTGATTAGAGAGGTTGAACGTGAGTACGTGATCCTCATACACAGTAACTGTGAATGGAGGCAGGACTGGTGCATCATTAGTTGACAATACAGTAACATTAATAGTGACATTAGTACACAGTTCATCATCAGTAGCTCCATCGCATGCACCAATGATATAATACTCAGGAGCCTCAGGAGTACTGAAGTAGTGTAGATCAGGTATGTATAGGAGAGTCCCGTTAATTGGGTCGTAAGAGAGGGTACCATGCTGAGGCTGTTGTAGTATATAGAATGATCCAGGATATAGGGCTTCCTCTGGATCTGAGACCTCAAGGCCTCCAGGGAGAGTGAGAGACTGAGGAGTGTCCTCTTTAATGACAAGACTCGTGATACCAAACCTTGGTGCATCATTGATGTACCGTACAATGATACTGATATTGACCTCAGAGACACCTCCTTCACTGTCCATAGCTGAGAGTGTAATGTAGTCGTTTCCATTATAATCATGATCAGGAGCATAAGTGAAACTGACCTCCTGACGCAAGCTGTTCCTACGTCTCACCACAACATCGGACACCGGTACAACGGAGAGTCCATCGGGCGGAGACAGCGTCACATTCCCATTGCCCATATAAGGAAAGCTGACAATCATTGGGGAGGATAGGTTGGATTCTACATCATACAGTGTGACTGAGAGGGAAATGGGGACATCCTCATCTGTTGTGTAGGTAACAGTGCTAGGTGGATAGTTGACAATTATTTCTGGTAAGTCGTTGACAGGTAAAATAATGACAGTCACATTTACAGTAGTGCAGCTTCCTTGACTGTCACAGAAAGTCAGTTTGAATGCATCTATTCCGTTGTTATTAAGGGTTGGTGAGATTGTCATCATGTTTTTATTAGTACTATCCAAGAACACAGTGAGGAGAGTGACATCAGATATACCAGTTGCTACTGGATAGGATGAAGAGGGAACGAGGTCGTCCTCATGGTCAGCTAGATATTGTGTGAGATTTATAACAACAGATTCAACATCCTCTTCAATCTCAATAATGAGATCTTGAGAGAGATAGGGTGGATCGTTAACAGGTGTAATCGTCACCGTAATGTTTTGTACAATTGAGCAGCCACCTCTTGAATCACACGCTTGATAGTGAATAACACGAATACCATTGTCATTTGTAGCTGGACTATAATTTATGTTACCGTTAGTTTTATTAACAGTTGCTTCTCCAAACTCTGGCTCTATTCTTACTACACGAATAGCACTGCCATTAAGAATCTCCTCGTGATCAAAAAAGTTCTGTAAGACACTGATAGTGATTGGAGTGTCCTCTAGGGTAGTGACAGTGGGATCAAACCCAAGGGATGGTTGGTATATCGGCACATCATTGATCGGTCTTATCTGAACAATGGCCGTCTCAATGTTACTCCAAGCACCTTGAGGATCTTGAACTCTGAAAGTAATTGTACGATTCTCGGGAGAAGGGTCTTCATCAGTGTTGCAATAGTGAAGGCTCTTAACTGTATAGTTCATTTGCTCTAGCGTCAGGAGCAGCTCAAGGTCTATCATTGGATAGTGCACTCTGCCAATAGGACAACCATTTTGAACATAGCCACCAAGGACTATCTTGAGTGCTCTCCTCAGGCTTTCATCTGGAATCTTATCCAGCTCTTCCTCATTAAAGAAGATGGCCTCTTGACCAATGTCAAGCTCATTCTGTAGAGTAACTTGTAGTCTTTGCAAATTATCGTTATCTTCATCTCCAACCATTACATACTCAGGCTGTACTATTAATACACTCGGCCCATTCTCAGTGTACAGTGTTAAGAAATCAGCTTCGGTGACATTGACTTGTGTCATCATTGGTTCATCACCTGATCCCAGGGCTGATGCATTAGACAATGGTGAATCAATATCGCCAGATCCAGATCCTGACATTCCAGAACCAGAGGATGAGAATCCTGAACCAAAACCTGGGTCTGGAACATTGGGAGCTTCTCCATCAGACACGCCTACATTGACCCCGTAAGTAAAGGATCCCGATGCAATCTGTAGAGTGGGTGGATCATTAACAGGTAGAATGGTCACACTGGTATATACTGGTATGCTCCTATTAAAACCATCATCAGCTGTTATCTCAATGAGTCTAGGGGAATACTGAGGCTCATCAGCATTATTAGAGTATGTTAAGAGTTTCAGTGTATTTTGGAATTCTTCCGCAGTGCCAGAGCCACTGATTGTAAATTCGCATGCTTGGCTCATCATAGCAGTGAGGAGTGGGGGTAGCTTGCTGTCGTCATCAAGACTCAAGTCCTCAAGGTCTCCATCAAGACAATTCAAAATGAGAACCCTCACTTCCGAAATGATGGAGCTATCAACATCAACTAGTGTAATGTTACGATCAGTGAGGTAGACTGGTGAGCCTTCTTCAATGAAAACTACACTGTAATTGACACCAGGTGAGTCTCCATTGAGATCAATCATTGGTGGATCATTGACTGATGAGAATGTCAAGAAAGTAAATGCTGGTCTACTCGAGTTATTAGCATCAAAAACATTGAATCTTATCCTTCTCATGGTAGTATTAGGATGTCCAGGAAGAGCCTCGTTATTGCTGTAAGTGATTGTCCTTATTATTTCTTCATATTCAGCCACAGTAGCATTACCAGACAGTGTCAATACTCCACTACTTGTATTGTAACTGCTTCTTATGACAGTGTAATTGGTTGGTATAGATACAGCTAGTATTTCATTTGGTGCATCAAAAGGATTCTCAATGACGACTAGGAGACCTGTGAGGTAGTCATTATCATTATCATATATGATGAGATCTGACTCATTGACTACGGATACTGGCCCACTTCCCTCCGTGTATTCTATCATGTAATTGACATCTATACCACTAGGTCCATTCAAATCAATGACAGGTGCATCATTGAGCAGCATAATATCAATACTAATGATAGACACATTGCTGTAATGGATCCCATCGTATGCTATCAGTTCTATGACTCTCTCTTCCATTATTGGTTCTTCTGCTAGGTTTACATATGTGAGAGTCGAGAGAGTTTGTTGGAAATAAGAAACACTGGCTGGGCCTGTAAGACTCAATGTGTAGTTAACGTAGCTTGCTCTTATACCAGTGGCTGGTTGTACACTGAGTACCTCTTCCATGGCCTCATTCAGAGGATTAGTCAACTCAATAGTGATAGAGTGTAGAGGCAAGTCTCCACTGTCAGCATCAGATACTAATAAACCATTTGATATCAGGAGAGGGATTGGATTAGTCTCCATTAGGTGCTCAAGGTATTCAAAAGGCTCTTCAAGAGTTTGAATGATAGGGATCCTATCATTAATGACACTAACATCAATAGTAACGGTCTCAGTGTTACTACGGAGATTATGAGCATCAGTGACTCGTATAGTAACTGTCCTTTGACCAGGAGGTGGTTCCTCAATGGTATTGTGATAGACTGCAGTTCTCAATACTGACTGGTAGACATGAACTGGTGCTGGTCCTGTTATTAACAATACTCCATTGAGAGGATTATAATGCTGAGTGAGCCCATCAGAGGGACTAATATTAACAGATAAGTACTCTTCGCTACTGATTGGCACTGGAGACAAGTTCATCCTGACACTAGCAATATAAAAGAACTCGTTATGATCAAGATCAGTCAGACTCAAGTTACTAGACACAAGAGGAATGGGTGAAGCCTCCCCCTCAGTAAACAAGATCTGGTAGAGGTAGGTTTTCAGTATTGGGTGATTCTCAGCCAGTAATCTATACTCAACGCTAGTTGTTACATTTGAATTGGTACCTTCGCTGTCGTTAACATGGAAACGAATCAAACGGGTTTCATTAACAGGCTCTGTGTGAGTATTAATGTACACTATGTACTGGAGAACTTTAGCATACGACTCAAGAGATACCTTGACACCAGGGTACTCTGACTCAAGGAGGAGAAAAGAATCATTGAAAGAGGACTCTCTAGTCACTCTTAAGACTTCAGTCTCATTGCCGTTACTGACACTAACAATACCCATTGTGTCATTATAGTTGATGTCAGATACATTACTGGGTATTATCAGACTCAAGATCTCATCCTCATCGTCATAGACATTCTCAATGATCACAGTGATTGATTTGAGATTAATGTGATCAAGATCAGTGATTGAGACTGATTCGGGATCAACTATTCTAACGTATGGATCATCTTCGGTGAACAGAACTGAGTAGCTTTCTCCATCTCCTTCACTTGTAATCTTGAGGACAGGAAGATTGTTAACACTAGATACAGTAATGGTGACTCTCTCGGTATCGCTACTGAACTCATTCAAAATACTGTCATTATTATAAGTAGTGTCAATACCATAACGACCACTCAGCCCATGACTCAATCCTGTGTTATCCCACCCACGCACAATTATATATGGAGTCTCAGAAAGTGGGCGTGGCATACCATCAAGGTACTGCATTGAGTTGAAGAGGTAGTTTGGTAGGAAACGTATCCTACAATCAGAGGAGAGAAGAGTGGCTTTCTCTGGACGTGGGTGAAGAGGAATGACTATGCCGTATATGTAATCTCCAATGAAAGTATTCCAGCTTCCTTTGCACTTGTACTGCCAGACCCCATTACGAACATCAACACCAACAACAGCCAGGCCAGTCTGAGAGGAGTCGTCAACGTCAGTGTAATAAAGACCATTAGCAATATAAGCTACAGTATCGCCTTCGTTTTCACTAACAGGATAATCTTCGATTATAGTGCTTAGACTCATTCCCTCTCTTATGACTGGAGAATCATTCACAGGTTCAATGTAGAGTACAGCTTTAACTGATGTAGTACTAACAGGCCCAGTGATAGGATCACTGGTGCTAACATCAGCACCTTCAGTGCCACTAGCTTGACCTGATGTCAAATCCCATGCTAGGAATGTTATACTAACATTGCCGTTGAAGTCTTGATATGGTATGAACCTGATTTTGTTCATACCAGGAGGATGAGAGCTGATAAGGAGTGAGTTTTCAGGAGATATATCAGAAGAGAGGCTGTTCCAAGTGTTGCCTCCATCAGTAGTGTACTGCCATGTGCCATTATCTGAATCAGTCTCGATGATTGATATACCATATATCTGATCACTGGTGTCAATATCTGTGATCCCACTAGTCAATAATACTACATCATTACCAACAGAGTTAATGTCATCTTCCAATATACTCATTAATGATACCGTATCATTGGACAATAATGGGACATCATTGACTGGGGACACTGTGGCTGTTGTGGTCACAGTCTCAGAGCTGAAGGGATCAGTTCTAGAGACAGAGGTGGCATTGGTTATAGATCCATCACTGAGATGATCAGTTGTGTCCCATGCAACAAATGAGAATGATACATTACCATTGAAATCTTTGTGTGGTACAAAACGCAATCTATTGGCATCCCCATTGACTCTAAGTACGGTTGCATAAGATAGACTAGTATTGACTGGTAAAGGATACCAATTGGTCTGTAATGAGACTGAGCCAGATCCACTGGTTTCACCTGATCCACTGATTTCACCTGATCCACTGACTTGACCTGATCCACTGATTTCACCTGATCCACTGATTTCACCTGATCCACTGACTTGACCTGATCCACTGATCTCACCTGATCCAGTAAAATCATTACCAGATCCACTGATATATGATATGATTGAATCAATGATTCCACCGGATCCACTCTCTCCTTCATCCTCTTTATAATTAGTAGTGTACTCCCAGTGACCATATCTGCTGTCAAGGGCAACAATGGCAACACCTTCTTTATGATTAGCATCATCATCAAGGATGAGACCAGTTGTAATGGCTTTCAGTGACCAACCAATATTAGAATTATTGTTAATATCTTCGTAAGTGATAGGGTGATACGGTATCACTGATTGGTTGATATAAGGTGAATCATTGATGTTAATGATATCAATATCAGTCTTAACACCTGATCTGATACTAAGACCATCAGATACAAAGAAGGATAGAACTCTAGTCTCATTCTGAGGCTCATCAGCTGAATTATTGTAAGTAAGAGTCTTAAGAACCTGTTGATACTCATAGACTGACTCCAGTCCAGTGATGAAGAGGGTACTATTAGTATAATTGTAATATTGTTTGGGTCTAAAGTTCCACACAGAGTAATGGAGGCCCAGAGGGTTTCCAATATATTCAGTAACGTTCCTTACCCATAGTCTCTCGTGGGAGCCATCCAGTGGATTGCTGATGACAACCATTACGTACTCAAGAGTATCATTATCAATATCAATGAGTATCATGTCCTGGTCTACAGCTGCTACTGGTCCCTCCTCTTCATAGAACTTTGTCCTGAAATCAAACCCGGTGTCATTACCGTTGAGATCCAGTATTGGTCTGTTATTGACAGCAGTGAATGATAGATAGACAGGAGCTGAAGATACATTCAATCCATCACTGACAATGACATCAATGACACGAGTATCATCTGATGGAGAGCCAGGATGAGACAGTGAATTATTATAAGAGACTGTTAGCAAGACACTAATAAAATCAGACACTGATCCTGGACCTTGTATAAGTAAGGTACCATTGGAATAACTGGTGGTTAAGTTAGTGTCACTGCTATTAGCAGAAAGTGTTTCATACTGACCGTCAGGATTAGCATTGAGTACAACACTGATGCTATAGAAACTGGTGTTATCATTATCAGTAAGAGAGAGATCATCTTCATCTAATAACAATGCAGGGCCCTGTCCTTCCGTGTAATTAACAAGATTATAAGTTCCATTCAAGAATACATTGAGGTCAATGTCAGGTGGATCATTGACTAGCTCAATCAGTATCGTACTCCTTGAAGTAGATGAGAATGAATCAAAATCATCAATACGGAATATAACGACACGACTAGTCGAGTTAGGCTCTTCGGCAGTGTTCTGATACTGCAGTGTCTTTATTGAACTTCGAAAGTCTTCAATAGGAGCACTGTTACCAGAGAGTGGCTTTAGTGTAAGTACATATAGAGATCCCTCATACATAATGGTGTAATTGAGTCCAGTGCCAGTAACATTGATAATCAAGCTCTCATGGAAATCATCATACTGTTCAAAGTATATAATTGCTTTGACGAGGCGGTTATTGTCCACATCAGTTAGATTAAAGGTAAGTGGGTCAACAACTTGTACAGGGACTACTGTGCCTTTAGGCCAGGTCTCAGTAAAGGTCGTTTGATAGTCACTTTGAGTCCCATTGAGATTCAATACTGGTCTATCATTGATTGATGTTACTGTGATATTAACACGCTCAATTTCTCTACTGAATGAATCAGTGTGATTACCAGTGGTTGTGTCAATACCATAACGCAGGTTAAACCCGTTAGTTGATCCAGTGTTATCCCAACCCTTTATCTCTATGTATGGAGTGTCGGAGGCTGGCCTTGGATCACCATTTTCATCAAACTGTGAGTTAAAATTCTCCTGTGGGACAAACCTAATACGACAGGTGTCCAGTAGTAGAGTGGCTCTCTCTGGTAATGGTTCCCTTGGAGCAATCTGACCAAATTGATGCCCACCGATGAAATGTAGCCATCTTGTCCCTATCAGCCCGTCACAAGTGTACTGCCATTCACCATATGTCCTGTTAATGCCAACCACAGCCACGCCAACATCATCAGTTCCATCAACATCATTATACACAAAGTTAGTAATGACACTCACATATGTACCCAGATTATTGAAATTGCTATAGTCTTCTTCTATATCAGGGAATACAGGGCCAGGGTCCAGGGTTGGTGAATCGTTCACAGGCTCAATGTCAAGTGTAGCAGTGCCAGTGCCCCTGCTAAACGTACCAGTAACACTATCAGTGGTCTCAGTGTTCACGCCTTGCTGGCCACTGGGATAGGTATCATTCATGTCCCAGAGTTTAAACTGAAGCGATGTGTCACCATTGTAATTCAGTCTAGGGGCGAACCTCACTCTGTGTGTGCCATAAGGCTCAGTTCTTAATACCAGAGCACTGCTTGGTGAAGGAGATGACATGTTAGACCAGGAGGTGCCCTGATCAGTACTGAACTGCCAGTAGCCATTGCTCTGGTCAGCACTCACTACGGCAATACCAAACTCATGAGAGTCAATGGGCTGATCTACATCATCTAATAGAGCTGGTAGAAAGACTGAGACGTCAACCCCAAGGGAAGGACGATCGATAACATCGTCTTCAAGAATTGGTGGGAGGACTATGGTAACAGATGTATTAAGGACAGGTGCATCATTAACAGGCATTACTACTACCAATAGGCTCCTCGACTCTGAGCTGAATGGATCAGTACTATCGTTAGTGAGTGCTACACGAACATGACCATCAGGGAGTTCATCCACTGTATCCCATGCAACAAACGTAAGGCTAGAGTTACCATTAAAATCTTTATTGGGTACAAAACGAATGAAATTCTCATTTGTTGCAGTTAGCAATACAGCCCTTGTGTAAGATGTATTTGGAGGGAAGTCATTCCAGACACTTGATCCATTTAGTTTGTATTGCCAGACACCATTAGTGTTCTCAGTATTCACAACAGCAATACCTTTAGTGATTGGTTCATACAGTGAGTCATCATCCTCAATAAGAGGAGAAGCAATGGCCGAGACGCTCTCTCCCTCGCTGTCTGTTTCATCTTCTCTAATGTGAGGAACTATGATAGGTACATTATTAAAGAACGGTGAGTCATTAATAGGTATCATGTCTACATGTGTATAAGCAGGGAAGCTCTCCAACACTCCATCACTTGCAATGAACTCGATAATGCGAGGAGGCCTCATAAACTCGTCGGCAAGATTATTATAGGTGATGGTTCTGAGAATAAGCTTATACTCATACACGCTATCAAGACCTGATATGTGTAGAGTAGCACTGGTACTATTATAAGTGACATTCGGTACCAGATTAGTCACTTCAACAACCTTCTCAAAACTATCATATTTCTTTTCAATGACCCTCTCAAGGACTATGGAGTCCACATCCAGAGACTCCAGTCTACCATCCAGTGGGTTAAGTATCCTTGCGGTGACATACTCCAAAGTGACGTTGTCAACATCAGTCAATATTGTGAAAGGACTGGCAACTGATACAGGTCCTTCCTCTTCACGAAACTGTGTCGTGTAATTGCGGCCAAAAGCATCCCCATTTACGTCGATATTTGGACGATCGTTTACTCCAATAAAAGTCACAAAGCAAAGAGCTGGAGAGCTTGAGCGGTCACCATCGGACACAACAAACTCAATCTGTCTCATTGTCTCATCAGGATGACCAGGATATGCATATGTATTAGTGTAAGTGACAGTAGCAAGGACTTCAGCATAAGACTCAACAGTATCATTACCAGTTAGATACAATGTATAATTAGTATAAGTCATATTAATGTTAGTCCCTGTGGTGTCAGCAGATAGAGTCTCGTTTACCGTATCCGGTGCAATTAGTAATGTAATGGTGGCACTTTGAAGATACAAGTTATCAAAATCAACAAGCCTGAGACCAGAGTAATTAGCAAGGATCACAGGTACGTCCCCTTCTGTGTATACAACATAATTGTTAACATCAGGAATGTAGTCATTGATGTCCAGTATAGGTGCATCATTGATGTGCTCAATAAAGATGGTGGTATTCACAGTAATGCTGTCACCAACCCCATCAGATACCACAAATGATATGGTCCTGTAGTCTCCAATAGGTTCTTGAATGCTGTTGTTGTATCGGACAGTTCTGAGTACCTTTTGGAACTGGGTCTTATCAGTATCGGGCAGGCCATAGTCTGGGTTAGTGTATATGGTAACTGAAAATGGACACCAGCTTGTTATTTCAGTCACAAGATCAGTGTATAGCGTAGTGATAAACAACTCTTCCTTTCTCTCACTCAATCCAGCACAATAGAGCTCCTCTGGTGTAGGATTGCTCTTATTCAGAACATACAACTGAAGATACTCAATATATTGCAGTTGGACTGGATCAGGAGGTAAGCTTGTTGCGTTAGAGAAATTCCCTCCACTTCCGCTGCCCATAAATACCATATCATCAGTGCTCACTTCTTGTCTCCTCAACTCAATAAACTCATTCACTTCAGTCTCGTTGAAAGGAGACTCCTCAATACCACCATATATGGTAATGGTAGCACTAACAAGTCTATCGTGATCATTATCAATGAGTGTCAGGTCTTCACCTACGGCAGAGATTGATGGAAGGTCTTCGTAGAAAACAGTTGAGAAAGATGGTGTAGTCTCATTGCTAAGGAACAATATAGGGACATCATTAACTGACTGGATACTAATGCGTACGATTATACTATCAGAGCTGTATTCATTAGTGATTGAGTTATTGGCGTAAGTAGCATCATTACCATACGTACCAGAGAGACCTTGAGTCAGTCCAGTGTTATCCCAACCATGAACTATTATGTACGGAGTGTCTGAGAGTGGTCTTGGGTTATTGACATAATCAAGTTCTGTATTAAAATGGGTCTGTGGTAGAAACCTTATTGAGCAGGTAGCAGCTAAAAGAGTTGCTTTCTCTTTGAGAGGCAGAGGTGGGACTATGACTCCATAGTGTATGTCACCAATAAAGTCTCTCCAGCTGGAATAATTACTGGGTGAATCACAAGTATACTGCCATACACCATACTGATTGTTCACGTGTATTACCGCAAGTCCTCTTTCAGGATAAGCATCAACATCGTTGTAATACTGATCACTGTATGTGATGATGTTAGCAACTTTTGTACCGTGATTCCTCTCAATAGCAATATCTTCTTTGATCAGCATCATGGCCATACCCTCTCTGATAACTGGTGAATCATTGATCGGCTCAACAAAGATCGTAGCTGATGTAGTGTTAACGCTAATCGGACCAATCACAGGATCAGAGAGAGAAGTATCGACATAGGTTGGGAGTTGATTGGTTTTGTTTGATTCTGACATCAACAAATCTGATCCTGATCCAGACATTAAGCCAGAACCAGATTCTAAAATCGAATCATTGTTGGTATCATTATCATTGATCAATCCGTCATAGCTCAGATCCCATGCCTTGAAAGAGATGCTGACCAAACCATTGTAATCCTTATTAGGAACAAATCTGATCCTCTGACTCTCTTCAGGTAGACTTCTTAATAACAAAGCATGCTCTCCGCTAACAGACCCAAACTCAGTCCAAGAGGCTCCACCGTCATGACTATACTGCCAGAGGCCATTGTCTCCATCGGCTCCTGTTATTGCAAGTCCTAGTTCATTCTGTTGCAAAGGTATATCAACATCGTAAGCAAACTGGAGCAGACTGAGTATAGTATCGCCAGTCGAGTTGTAATCATCTTCATCAATCGATGTAAAGTTGAGCAGAACCTCATGCAACACAGGCGCATCATTAACAGGTACAACAGTTAGATTGATATGTACAGTAGCATAACTGTATGAGTCTATCAATGAGTGAGAGAGAGCATTAGTATAGCTACCAATAGGAAGATCAGTACCATCCCACGCTACTACCCTAAAGCTAGCCACTCCGTTGTAGTCTCTATTAGGTAGGAAACGAAGGCGGGAACTAGTGGTTGCTCCAGCTGAAAGTGTGAGGGCATTAGATAGAGATAGAGGCGTACGTATGTCACTCCAGTTTGCTGTTTGAGGGTATAAAGAGTACTGCCATTGACCGTTAGAACTGTCAATGGATATAATGGCTATACCTGGGACTGAATCAATATCATCGTCAAGAATGAGATAACTCAAATCAAAGAGATTGATGCCAGTATTATCATCAATAAAGACATCTTCATTGATATGTGGTCTAAATGGTGATGCTGTGTCATTGAAATATGGTGAATCGTTGATCAGTTCCATCCTGATTCCAACGTAAAGTGGATCAGAATCAAGGAGACCATCATTGAGAATTATCTCAATAGTTCTTTCAGTCTGGTCAGGCTCATCAGCAATGTTATTATACGATAGAGTCTTCAAGACTTCTTGATACTCATACACAGTTTTGAGGCCAGAAATGGTGAGGAGTGACGATTCGGAATCAAACACAACTTGGGGCAAGTAATTAAGAGTGATTACCACATCTCTAGTTGAATCAGGTGATCTCTCGCTTACATTACTAACTCTCAATATCTCATTAGGACCATCCATTGGATTAATGATACGAACTGATATATAACTCAAAGTGACATTATCAACATCCATGATGAACGAGTCAGGATCAAGAAGTGGTATAGGACCTCTCTCCTCAATAAATGTGACGTTATTATCAATACCGGGTACCTTAAAACCGTTAAGGTCTCCAAACGGAGCATCATTGATGCTCATGAACGATATGAGCGTAAAAGCAGGTCGGCCATTATTAGTCCCATCAAAAGGAACAAAGCTGACAACTCTAGTAGTAGGGTCAGGATTACCAGGACTATGGACTGTGTTATTGTACGTTACACTCCCTAGGACAGCTGTATAATTATCCAGCGTGTCCTCGCCATACAAAAGAAGTGTATTAGATGATAAATTATAAGAGTACCTGATGTTTGTAGTGTCTATGATATACTCATCAATATCAAGGTACTCATTGACAGTGTCATATGGGTTAGTTATACTAATGGTAACAGACTGGAGGTACTCATCGTCATTATCAGTTAGAGATATCAAAGAGTCATTAGTCAGTAATGCCTCACCCTCTCCTTCATCGTAATACACTACATACGGAGCCCCTGGACTGACTGGATTCAATATCAGGACCGGAGGATCGTTAGTAAATACAAAATCAACAGCTGCAGTAGCGACACTGCTGATAAACTGATTACCATTAGCTAAATCATAAACTTTAAATTCTATGCCACGAGAGATCCCAAAGAGCTCCTCTGCATCGTTATAGTACTCGACTGTCCGTAGAACTCTCTCAAAAACCTCAATAGCTCGAGGAACTGAAGTAGAGATATTAAGAATGAGGACGTCATCATCATTTTCATTGATTGTGACATATTGTTTACTGTGGAGCTGCTCAATCTCTACCAGTGACTCATTAACCAAGACCCCCTCCATATTGAAATTAGAATAATTCCTCACTGTTATGATGAGTGAGTACAGACCCTCTGAAAACCCACCGTCAGTCAATACAGCATTGCTGGGGTCTAAGAGTGGAATAGAAGGACTGTGCTCTTGGAATTTAGTGTAATAGTTAGGAGTTGATGCGGGCGTGATGTTAAGAGGATCAAGATCAATGATGATGTGATGGACAATGATATAGGAATGAGACTGAGGCAGGGTGGCATTGGAATGAGTATGACCATCATGCAATTCTGTGACTAGTCTTCTCTCCTCAGAGAAATTAGGCCATTTTTTGTTATTATTGTACACGACAGAACTGAGGACTGCCTGGTAACTGGCAGGAGAGTCTAAACCAGTTAGACTAAGGACCCCAGTCACTGGATTATAATGATGATCAATGTTTGGTTCCCTTGCAATATGTAGCGTCCATCCAACTACACTTGCCTCTTGTTCACTGGATATGACAAGCGTCCAGCGTCCACTGAGTTGCTTGCCACGAAGGAGAGACAACGGCGACCGTGGAGCAAGATTGTCCACTAGCGACCTCTTCAATGGTATCGGTATATTGAGATCAATTATGTCATCAAGTGTTGGGAGATACTGTGAAAACTCAGATCCAGAACCAGAACTGAAATTGTACCCTCCGCTGGCACTTGAGGAGAACTCTCCGCTAGAGGTTTCATTAGCTTCATACAAGGAAAGGCAGGAATAGTCAGTGTAGTTACTATCACTGGATGCTCTATCATCAAAAATGATGTAAGAGAAGTTCCCATAAGCACAAAGAGGATAGTCTTGGGTTGATAGTGTTATGATGGTGCCATCAGGATGGACCAGTTTCAGTGTTGGCAAGTACGAGAGTGAAGATGTGAATGGAGAAGTAAGATGGAGGCTGACTGATAGGTCTGTGATACGACCGTCAGCTGTTACATCTCTGTAATGGATCCTCTCCTCTCTCCCTCTTACTGTAATGACAGGAGAGACTGGAGGGGACGAAACAATTAGGTGTGTCTCTTCAGGTCGTATAACAAGACCCCATCCATCCAGTTGACCGTTGTCCCTACCGGTAAGCAAGTCAGTGATACGAAGAGTCCAGTCACCTTCAATTGGATCACCGGAGAAACTTTTAAGAGACTCATCTGAAGAAAAGTAGCCTTGAGTTTGGAACTGACACAGACCAGGAGAAACTGAGCTCTTGGAAAGGAACAAATCTCCAGAGGATTCAGTATCAAACGTTGTTGTGTGTAGATCATCACGAGGGCATGAGGGACCCCCTGGACTCAGTACTAGGAGGACTGTTCGATGACCATGAACTAGCTCTAGCATTAGATCACCAACCCACGAGTGCTTGATGTCAATAATCACACTAACATCACTCACCAGTCCAGTACTAGCTACACTGAGTGTGTGAGATACTTCAGGGACTCTTTCACCTGAAAACAAGAGGCCAAAAGGAATGGAGAGACCCAATCCCTCAACGACAATTGGTTGGTTTTGTCTCTCTGGAGTCTTGTAAGTCACTAGTAGTGACTCATGGGGCCCATCCAGTGGATTGTTAAGAGTCACTGTAGCATTGTGTATGTACTGACTGTCAGTATCTCTTACACTAGCTCCTGTTGGGTTAAGAACTGAAACTGGTTCATTGTTAGGATAGTATCTATTAGTGTAAGACTCTTCATTTCCATTAGTAGCAACCACTGGAGCATGGTTATGTACACTAACAGACATGTTAACATAGGAATTGACCAGCGAGTTACTCCTGCTGCTATCAGCATACAGTCTAACTAATATAAGACGATGACCAATAGTTGGTAGACCTTTTCTGTTAGAGTAATAAACATGTTGTAAGAACTGGAGGTAAACTGAGAGAGGAGAGTCCCCAGTAACATACAGCACTTGAGGAGAGGCTGGATTAAGTGGAGGGTTTTCATAAGCAACTGATAATGATGGGTGTGAGTACTGCAACACTTCAAGTGTCTCGTTAGTACTGTCATAGTAGGATGCAAAGTATAGAGTCATGTGTTTAATTATTTGAGTGGGTGGGAGTGAGCTCTCGACGAGGAGAGAGGTGAGAGGTACACGCCCATCAAGTCCGTGTACGTAGGACTGGTGGTAAACTCTGCCAGGCACAGCTGGGCCATTGAAATCAAGGGAAAATTCCTAAAGTAACATAGAATAAAATAAAAATTGAAGGCTACTAAAACATTAAAATGAATGCAATTTACATGTATATCTTGCAAAAGAAAAACCAGCAAACATGAGGTCAATTAAAAAGAGAGTACATATGTTGTATAATGGTGTACTTCTTATACATGGTGTACTTCTTTAGAAGCAACTTTAAAAATTCATAAAAAATCCAATTTTAACCAGAATCAGCTCATACTTTCTATGTAAGATATATACATGTATATGCATCAGAAAAAAATATTAAAATGGAAAAATATCTCCCTGTCATTTCTGATCAAATTTGGCCCAAGACCCTGTACTATGGCCCATGGTTTTGGGCCAGATTTTTGAGCAACTTTAAAAAATCATAAAAAATTTAATTCTGATTGGAATTAGCCCAAACTTTCTATACAATATAAAAACATGTATATGCATCAGAAAAAATATTTAAACCTAAAAATTTTCTCCCTGTCATTTTTGATGAAATTTGGCCCAAATCCCTGTATTATAGCCCATGGTCTTGGGCCAGATATTTGAGGAATTAAAAAATTTGCAAAAAGCTCAATCTTAATCAGAATCAAGATACACAGTATAAATCTAACAAAGTACATACTATCAGATAATATCATTATCTTACCTCATTGGCTCCTGGTTGTACAATGTACGAGAGACAAAGAGGAACAGATGAAGTATTATCAGCAAGTACAGACAAACAAACTATAAGAGGACCCTCAGACTGCACTGATGATACATTCCATTGCACTATATTGAGAAAGACAAAATAATAATAATAATAGTAATGATAATAATAATGATGATAATAATAATAATGATAATATAAAAATAATATAAAAATAATAATAATTACAATATTAATAGAATGTCCTAATGAAAAAAAACCCATGCAATTATGCTATATAAAAAGCTCCAATTACAACTTAAGGACGTCAATTAATATCAAGTTCTCACCTGTCAGAGTATTGTTCTCAGTAACATAAGCAATAAGACCATTAGGTACAGGAGAGACGAATGTAACAGATTGACCTCCATTGATAAAATAAGAGGAATTAACTTGAGTTCCTTGCATCACATAAAGGACATCAAATGGGACTGCATTGCTAAGGTCTGGAATAACAGGACGGGTACCAGACGAAACTCTAATCCTTAATTCAGCGGCAACCCTGAGGCCAGTTTCCACATCCTGTGTGATAACTTGTGCACTATAGTCCCCAGGGACCACGTGTTCAGTGTTCCAAGTCACTTGACCAGTAACAGGTACTATATGCAAGCCCTGAGGAGGCCCTGCTTGTATTGATCGGTAGTCAATCGGACTACCAAAAGAGAAGAAGAGAGAGTTCTCCGATGGAGATAGAGCAGGATAGTAAAAGGACTGGTCTCCATTGCTTGAGGACATCAAGTGAACAATGGAAAGAGATGGCACAAGAGGAGAGGAAGGATAACTGAGATCAACTGTCACAGAAAGGGCTAGCCTGCAAAAATAAATAAAATAAATGCATAGTATTATTAATATAATGTGAAGTCTTGATAATTTTAATATACATGTAGACTAGAACTAGATCTATAATTTTTAACAGCTTACTTTGTTTGTCTGTTATTCTGTAGTGCCTTGCCTCTGCAGCAGTATTCATACACAGCTTCCCAAGGAGATCCATACTGATGGGCCATGGGATATAAATGTGACACAGTTCCTTCAGCAACAATGTACTCATCTCTCTCACTGACTCCATGTACCTAAAAATGAGCCACACCCAATGTAATTTTTAGAAAAAAATAATCAATGTACACAATGTAGATCTAAGTAGATGTACATTTTTCATGCAAAATCATGTACATAAAATTATGCAAAGTCTGAAAGTGGTACTGAAAGCTCTAGTTCAATTGCTTACTGTCATTATGAGCTGGTCTGTCTCACTGTCATCTCCAAACATGAGCATCCCTGGCATACTGACCTCACTACCAATGGAGTATTGTCCATAGTAGCTTCTGGAGAGAGTAAGGGATAGAGTGAACACTGCCATTGTCCTCGGGTAACCGCTTGGGACTTTCTTCCAGACTAGTGTACCAGAAAGGACAGCTTCATCTAAAAGAAAGAGAAAGAGATTGCAATTGATATTGTAATTGCAACCATAGTCTACTAGAAATTATGCTAACCTTCATCATTGTCTTCAACAGTGACATTAAAATCAGGTACAGGATATTTGTTGAAATTATTGTCGACACTAGAGAGGCTCATGTTGAATGATGCAGGATACGGGGAAGGAAGATTGAGGGTATCCTCTAATGCATAAATAACTAGATCTTGAGCCACGTTCCAATTATGAGGCTCAAATGTCATGGTAGATGGTCCAAGGGACACTCGAGGAGAGAGTGAGTGAAAAGTTATAGTAACAGAGTGGGTTGGAGTGCTTGGGAGAGTAACTTCATACACTGCCCATCTTCCCTCGGGGATATCTGGAGGAAATGGGTACCTCTCCTTCATGACAATGATAACACCAGCTAAATAAGGACAGAATAAAGTCAATAATTACTCCATTGTCACTCACAGTTATCAGTATCTGATACTAGTAGCGTCAGATTAGCAGTTGCAGCATAAGATACATTGCTGCTTGAGGAATTTATGTTAAGTATTCCACCATACGGAGAGTATCGTATGACGTCATCATCAACACCAAATATGTATATTTCACGAGTTTCATTCCAATTGGATGAGTTGAATGTCAACCTTTCAGTCAACGTTCTAAAGCAATAGAAACAGCTAATGGATGTACATGTATTGCATTCTCCATTACTTTATGTATCCATCAACTTCTGTTGCAAGATCCAGAGTAACATCTGTATCAGGAGGTCCATCCATTAGGACAGTGTAAATGCTTTGCTGCCCTTCATTAATAAAAGCAGGGCCACTTAATTTCCTGAACTGAAATGCCTGGAAATGCAAGACATCAAATTCAGCTGCAGGGAGAGAGAGAGAGAGGGTATTTTGTATTCATTGCAATGGATTAGCTCACCTTTAGATACAAAAATCAAACAGCTAGTGATAGTAGTGACCAGTAAAAGGATCTTGTTGCAACTTGGGCTCATATTTCCTTATCTGCCCACTCAGGGGCTATCTTACACCACTGTAGTTGAGATAAACTTCTTCTTGAGGAAACTCTTGCTTGCTTTCAGCTCCCAGATCAGCAAAATAGCATGATGGAGCCAACAGGACAAGCTCAGTGCGTCTTTCTCAGCCCTCAATGCAGTATGATTTGCAAAATGCTGCAGAAAATGTGGGCGTAGCTCGTCAAAACTCCCGGGTCTTGTTTATCTGTTATGATAAAATACCATGGCAACGGGATTCCATTACAGTTACCATGACGACTAATAAACATTTGCAGCACAACTGGTCGCGTGCAGCGAGAGAGAGAATATGGATTCCTCTCGCCGGCAGTCTCCTCAGAGAGACAGCGAGACACCTTTTGAAGAGCTTCCAAACCTACCCAAGCCTATCATACCTCAGATAGACCTCAACATACAGAGAATGGACATAAACGGAATGCTCAAATACAAGTAATGGTGGAAACACTTTTAACCATTGCATGAGCCCTTTTATTATCCACAGACCCTCTATAGCCCTGCAGCGTAAGGTAGGCTACAGTGTGAGGGATCATGCGACTCAGACTAAGGAAACAGAAATGGTCGACTTGCAGCATGAAATTGAAGTGCTACAGGTCCTGGTACAAGATGCCGGAAAGCTGCGTAAAGACTTTGCATTTACCACCAACATGTTGAGAGCCAATTATGAGCAACAGATTACAGACCGATCCACAGAACTGTAAGTAAATACACTATGTACAGAGCAAACTGTTAATGTATGACTTGCATCATGATAGGTATTGTAGAGTGAATGAAAAAATGTACGAGCTTGAGAAACAAAACAAGACAGTGAGTTATCTTTATTATAACATGATATTCATTAGTATTATCTAATACCTTCCCTGGCTTCAATCAATTTCAGAAAATCAACCAATTGAGGAAGAGTTTTCAAATGCAGCTTGATAACGCTATACACAGGATTGCTGGAGAATATAAAGCATATTACGACAGTGTGCTGGCAGGAAAGCTGGGATTTAATAACTCAGCAATGGAGGAAATAAAAAAAGAGTGAGCTAGGAAACCAACTTGAGGGGGGGGCAAAATTACACTGTATGTATGTACACATGAACATTAACATTACATTATTGTTAATGTAGACTTTCAGAGAAAAATCTATTACTGAGACAACAGGAAGTACAAATTGAGAATCTTGAAGCAAAATTGAAAGAACAAGCAGGATTAAGCAAGAAAGAAGTGAGCAAAAGCATGTATCCTCATGCATGCATAATTATTTAATTGTATATAGCCTTCAGAGTCACCTATTCCTGTTGGAATAAGTGAAGAAGAGGTAGAATCGCTCAATGTGAAGATTGCATACTTGGAAGATGAGCTGGGATCGGTTAAAATTGAGCTGGCTACACAAGAAGATGAAAATATAAGACTAAGTGAGCACAAATAAGCTATTGGAGTCAATTATGAAATAATGTATAGAGAAACAGCTCGATAAAATGACTAGGCACTTAGAAGACCAGAAAGAAAAGTACAGCCAGGTTCGGTTATGAAATTTTTGTAATAATACATGTAAATTTGCTTTTAATGCACAGCTTGAAAAAGATTCAGACAGCTACAAGAAAAAAATAATGGAGGAGCAAGAAAAAGCAGCTAAAATGGTAGCAGGAATTGTACTCTATAATAATATCTATGCACATACAGGCTGAGAATCGTTTGGCAGTGATGGAAAAGGAACTAAAAGAGAAAATGGAAGCAGCCACAAAGCAGGTAAAGATATTGTATAATTGTCTGCAATGACAAAAATTATTCAACTTAAGGCTATGCAAAAGGCACAGGAGCAAGCAGACATGCAACGAATGAAAGATCAGGCAAAATTCCAAGAGGAAATTTCAAAAAGGAAAGCAAAAGAAGATGAATTATTATTAGAAGTAAAGAGGGAGAGAGAGAGAGAGAGAGGCATAATGCATCAATGCAACAACACAGGCAAATAAGAAACCAACTGTGCTTGGAGACAAAGAGCTATTGAAGCAGTTGGAACGCCTTGAAGAAATAGAGCAGCAACAAAAACATGAAATACAGAGGTACATGTACATGTTCATGTATTTTTAGCTGCCATTCTACAACCAATGCACATTGTCTTTACAGGCTGAACAAAGAGCTGGAAAGAGTTAACAAAGTATGGGAATTAAAAATGGCAGTCATGAAGAAAAAGTGAGTGGATATGGAGTAACTGATTGCAATAAGATTATGACAATAATATACAGTTTTCAATCATTAAAGAACGAGCTTCATCTAAGACACACACTAGAAAGACAATCAGTTCATCTACACCATGCTACTGTGGGATATGCTGTAAGTTATTACATTTTTATCATCAGACTTTACACTAACAATGATTATACACACAGAGCACTGGTAGGGCTGGACGAGAGAGCGTACATATACCAGTTATACCAGATCCTTCAGTAAGTGCATGGCTTTAAACACAAAATAATTTTCACAATCATCACAGACAAAATCAGAAAGAAGACCACCGACACGAATTGTGCAACAAGAAAGTAAGTACATGTACATAGTACCCACTGCATTACATTATGCTGTCATAATAGGTTCAAGTCCTGTACCAGAACAATTATTCACAAGGTATATTATGTACATTGTAATCAATAATAATAATTATAATCATGGCATTCATTTTCAAGATCCAAGAGTGTACACTTTGACGAATCAAAGCCACCAAACTCCACGCAACCAATGCAAGCATGAGTGAACCAGAGACACTCTGTATAATAGATTGTGAGATTATTTTAATATCATCATAAAACTGAGATGATTTTATATCATAAAATACACACAAAAACACACACTGTACACAATAAAAGTATACAAAGGAGAACAAAATTAAAATGAGGACTAAGAGGAGGGTGGTATTAGGGAAGAGCTGATTGGTGAGGTGGAGGGGAGAGGCTCTGTCTTATCACAGTTACGCGTCTTTTGTTTAGATTTCGGTACAGCTTTGCCAATCCTCCAATTGTGTACTGGATGGTTTGCTGGCACAATGGCTATATCCTTTAAAGAGAGAGAGTGAACTGGTTGTAGCTCCCCTTTTACTAGCCTTAGACTCGGAGAGAGAGAACCGAAAAGCTTCTCGAAACATATCGTCGACTTGATGTCCTTGATATTAGTCAGCTGCTTCCCAGTATTGCGTTTGTGGTGCCTTGTTTTAGAGCCTTTAGCTTTCAACTTTCCACGAGGCTTGTTGGTAGGTTTTACGGCTGATGCTGTGGTTTGACTAGTGGGTGCCGGTGGTGGCTGAGGAGTGGATGACGTCACTCTTGCATGTCCATTACTATTAGAGCTATTGGTAATTAAACTAGAATTACTGGTAACAGATGACAAGTCGTCCTCCATCATTAGGTGGCTCTCTATTAGGAGTCTAGCATCAGCATGAGCTCTTCTCCTCTCCGTGCAAATCATGTCACCCAAAGAAAGAGAGGGGGAATGGGACTTGACTGGAGACAAAGATTTGCCTTTCTGGGGAGGCGTTTTCTTTTTAGAAGGTAAGACCTTCCCTGGGGTTGCATTAGTAGGAGAAACAGAAGGAACTAAAGAGGGGCTAGCTTGGGGTGGACTAATCATCGAGTGCCAATTGTTACCAGTAGGAGATTTGGTTAGTTTAAGAGCTAGTGGGGGCTTGAGCTGCAATACAGAAGCAACACCAGCTCCAGGACTGACCTTTGAAGCATCATTGACAGCTCTCTTCTTAACCGTAGCAAAGTGACTCAAGGCAAGTGGTCTTTTCCCTTTCATGCTTGTCAAAGGAGGAGTGCTTGCTTTATTAGTGTTAGTCTTTGATAGATTGATTTTATTAAGAGGAATGTTAACAATAAATGATGAGAGAGGAGCAGAGAGACCATTACAAGAGAGAGATTCATCAGAAGAACTATCTGATGGATTGTAAGACGAGTCAGAGGAAGATGATGAAGTTAAGTCGCTCAACATGACCACTGGCTTATCAGGCATTACAGCAGAATAATTAGAAGACCCTGGATGTATACATGTACATTAAAAAAGAAAGTATAACTTTGGGTGTACTATCAATGCATAGGTTAATAAAAATAGAGAATTCTCTCCTAACCATTTTGATGAAGTACCATGTACTATAGTACTAAGAAGTATCATAGTATATGGTGCTTTGGCTTGATTAGGAGCAACTTTAAAAATTCATTAAAAATCCAAATCTGATTGGAATCAGCTCAAATTTTCTACACAACATAAGAACATGTATATGCACCAGGAGAAATTATTAAAAATGAAGAATTCTCTCCTTTTAATTTTTGTTAAAATTTGGTCAAAGTACAGGGACTTTGGCCAGATTCTGGAATTTAATCGGAATCAACTCAAAATTTTAAGCAACATACATGTAAATACATGTATATTAAAAAAATAAATGAAGATTTTGTGGTGAAATAGTATGCGGTCTTTGGCTAAATTTATAAAAATTTCCTAATAATCCAATTTTAATTTCAAAAATGAAGAATTACTATTAATCAATAATACACAAGATTACTCTACTATTACTATTATCCCATTACTCACACCAATACTACATGGGCATGCTAGTACAACTGGCATACGACATTCTAACACTCTCTTTGCTGGTTTCTGATCAATAAAATTAATTATAATTAGTAACTGGATACTGACCCAGACTAGTACATCAAAGCCATGATATTATTAATTACATGTTGTTATTACTAATCTTTTGCCTAAAACTTAAACTTACTTTTCTTTGAGATGAGGTTCCTAAGATTAGAGAGAGGCTGACACGTTAATGACTGCTCCTCATCACTGGATCCTGATGTAGCTGATACATAAATATCAGACGAGAAGTCACCAGTGAGAGTAAACCTATCATTATAATTAACAAATATGAAACTTTGATGAGAAATTTTAGTTCCTAAAAAACCCAAAATTTTAATTAATTATAATCAAAAAAACCACACCCCCATTGCTAATGACGTTCCTCGTACTTTTCTGATCTTGTAGAGTCTCCATGTGAACTGGTTGAGCTACGATTAAGAGAGTTCTGTTTCATATCCAGGCCTCCATTATCCATTCCTTTATCATCTTCTTCATCCTCACTGGAAGATGGGGAGCTGAGGAGGATAGGATTCTCGAATGATGTCTGAGGAAAAGGAGATGGCCTTGGTGTCATTTTCTCTCTCGAGGGATGACTAAAAGGATTGCTACTCATTTTTACCAAAACCATTTAGCCTTATCTGTGTAAATGGCGGCTCGAATGGCGGGGCCTGCCAGCCTGAAGTGGAGGAGGTTAAAAACTTAAAATAAAGATATGGGCAAGGACGTGCACACCCTATAGAGGTGTGTTTTAGAGGTGTGTTCACACGTGTGCTGCTTGGTTTCTCACTTTCTTTATTCCTTTTATACCTCATCTCTTGCTGAAAGAAGCTCTATGGCTGCTCTGGAGACAAATGAGAGGGTGTTTGGATACCTCACTTTCTCCTCCAACTTAAGCACCAATGTTATTGGTAAGTGAAGAAGTGCCAAGGCTAGGGCGGAGCTTGTAGTGATGTCATGTTTGTTGCTTGTTATCACTACTCATCACTAATTGTAATTACATCAGAGTATGTGTATAGCTTTTATCCATCCCCTCTTTATTATGGAGTCCTGTTTTTATAAGCTGCTACTACTATGGATAAGATCTGATACATTTTTAGATGGTGAAGTTGTACTTAAAATTGGACAGAGCTTTTCACATTCTAATCTTGTGGTAACAGCTAACAGGATGGACCATGTAGCTCATTATTTTAAGTGGAAAATCCAACAGTCTATCCGAAGTAATGAAAAAATACTATCCTGTGAATATTAATTAGTATATTTTTATTTAGTGCTGCCGCATTTCTTGCCAGATTGGCAACCAAATCCAAGGATAGATATTTGTAAGTAGTGCGTTTATAAATAAATTAATTTATGCTCTGTACAATCACCTCCATTTTAATTTTAGGGCACTTTTTTTGGCCGTACCCATAATTAGGGATGCATAGGCAGGAAATACAAAAACATTTAGTTATTATTATTAGAATTTAAATTTAGGATTTTTTCGTTATAGTTTATTATTATTATTATTAATTATTTCTGTATTTCTTTGCCACAACAATGTATTAAAATAATTACAATACGCAATGTTCAAGTCTTTATAGTCACTTTGCAAGAGATGACATGAAAATACAACAAATTATAATAAGAATAATAAGGATGTTGTTCAAGAACAGAATTTGCTCACTTAATTTTTTATTCTTCCACTGCTCCCTCCAGCAATGGCTTGTTCTTTGCCATTAATTGTCTTCTTTATTAGAACACCATCTTTTGTCACTTCAACTATTGTGTTTCCACCTTTTTTAGTGCTTTATATATACAAAAACACATAAGTTATTGATATTACTCATACATGTACATTTTTTCTAAAAATAATTGTTTAATGATAAGTTATTTCTTAACTTATTTATTAATAAGTTATTCACAATTTCTATTTATAGAAATTCTTCATTCATTGCTATGGGATCACGTGAGCCGTTTACGTATTAAATACACTGTCACACCTTCTCACACGTGTATTTAGTATTTACTCTTATTATCATCTGTGAATTACTGAAATAAACTCTATGGCTGTTTTGGAGACAAACGAAAGGGTGCCTGGAACAGAACACCTCACTTTCGCTTCCAATTTAGGCAACAGTGTTATTGGTAAGTGAAGAAGTCCTAGTCGCACGTGTACTGCTTTCTTTACTATATCTGTGAATTACTGAAATAAACTCTATAGCTGCTTTGGAGACAGACAAGAGGGTGTTTGGAACAGAACACCTCGTTTTCTCTTCCAATTTAGGCAACAATGTTATTGGTAAGTGAATAAGTCCTAGTCCTACCCTAGGCTAGGGCGGGCTTGTATGACACCATTATTGATATATACCATAAATCTACTTGTTGCTTGTTTTATCACTACTAGTTTTGTAATTTGATCACAGTATATCTGTATATTTTTTATCCATCCCCTCTTTATTATGGAATGCTGTTTTTATAAGCTGCTACTACTACTACTATAGATGAGATCTGATATATATACATTGTTGGTTTTTTAATAATTTTTTTAGATGGTGAAGTTGCACTTAAAATTGGACAGAACTTTTTACAATTAAATGCTGTGGTAAGAGCTAACAGGATGGAATATGCTGTGGTAACAGCTAACAGGATGGAATATTTAGCTCATTGCTTTAAAAGAGGAATCCAACAGTCTATCCGAAGTAATGAAAAATACTATCCTATGAATATTAGTTAATATATTTTTATTTAGCGCTGCAGCATTTCTTGCCAGATTGGCAACCAAATCCAAGGAATAGATATTTGTAAGTGGTGCATTGATAAAGAAATTAATGCTCTGTATAATCACCTCCATTTTAATTTTAGGGCACCTTTTTTGGCCGCACCCATAATTTAGGGATGCATAGGCAGGAAATACAAGAAAAACATTTGGTTATTATTATTAGAATTTAAATTTAGGATTTTCCTTATATAGTGTGAAAATTATTAATTACTATTATTAATTATTTCCGTATTTCTTTGCCACAACAATGTATTAAAATAATTACAATACGCAATGTTCAAGTCTTTATAGTCACTTTGCAAGAGATGACATGAAAATACTACAAAGTATAATAAGAGTGTTATTTAAAACAGAACGCGCTCACTTAGTTTTTTATTCTCCCTCCAGTAATGGCTTGTTCTTTCCCATTAATTGTCTTCTTTGTTAAAACACCATCTTTTGTCACTTCGATTATTGTATCTCCACCTCTTTTAGTGCTGTATACAAAAGCAATTAGGGTATTTATATTATTTATACAACATTTTTACTAAGTTCAATGATAAGTTATTAACTCACGTTTTTGTTTTAATTGTTTTTCCATTCACTGTCCTGGTGCTGGTTGAGACATAAGTACCTCCACTACTTGTCACCTCCCCACCAAACCTAGGAATGATAATTATATTATGTATTAACATGTCATACATAATGTATGCATGTACATTTATGCTTACGGTGAGTCAAAGAGACTTGATGACGAGAAACCTGACCCGAATCCCATGCCAAATCCACCAAATCCTCCAGCACCTTTGCTACGACCAGAAGATCTCCCATCAGAAACTAAAAAGATGCAAATAATAAAGTATAATTAGCATGTACATGTACTAACAGAAATCATCTCCAAAGTCAAGGCCACCTCCCATTTCTTGAAACATTTTGTCAAATGCAGCAAATACATCATTCGTTCCAAAGAACTGCCTACAAAGAGAGAAAGTAATGGTATTGCAGTAAGCATATTTATTTCTTCTATCTTCATACTTACTCAAATATATCGCTTGCAGCTGCATGTCCTCCAAAACCACCTACAGGGATTGTTGTAGTCAGGCGGGCCTGACCCTCGCAAAGAAGGAGGGTCAGGACCAATCCAACACTCTTTTTGGTGTACACTTCTATGGCTTGGGTGGGGCTGGGTGGAGCTCAATGCTTGCATTTATATTTGGCTATTTAAAAATGTGCTGTATAGTGCTTCTTGGGCTGAAAGATGATACAAATCAGTTTCCTTCAGGCTCCTTCTCTAGACTCAAGTCTGCATAAATAAACCATACAAGATCCCATTTTGAGCAGTTCGATAGAACCATGGATTAAACTAGGTCTAAATTGGCATAGATATAATTGAACATGTAAAAGATGGTGAAAGGGCTTGCTTTACACCGAGTTAGAGAAGCTAGGAAAAATGGAAAACTCTTTAACAATTGTTAAGAAGTGCCACGGTAAAATGTTCCTAACAGCCGGATCGTTTTCGTCACCATAAACACATAACGGGCTTCTATTTAAAGACATATTAAGGTCCTTTGTATCTTCCAGTGTCTCT